TTGTTTCATTTTTTTTTTTTTTTTTTTAAATTAGAGTAATTTATTAAGTTTTAAATCTTTTAAAATTCTGTATTAATTTCACACTTTTAGATGATATTATTATTAAGTGAAAAGCTTAGTACAATTCATCAAACACCAATATTTTGAAAAGCATTTTTAATTTTTTTGTATGTGTATAAACATGTCAATTTTTGTAGACAGATGTTCATTATCAGAAAATAAGTGATAACTATAGTAAATTTAAGGCCAAAGTATCTAAAATTCAATAAAACATTAAATTATGGAGAATATTTTCCTAAGCTTTTATGATTATTGAATCATAAAAGCTTAGGAAAATATTCTCCATAAGAAAAAATTATATAAAAAAGGCACTCATTTTATATTCAATTATTATTTACAGATAAATCTCCTCCCCACCCTGCCCATAGAAAAACATTAGATAAATCTCTATCTGTTATCAAACTTAAATAAACAGCTACTGCCATGTTAAAAAATTTCTCTAATATTTTAAACTTAAAGTAAATAAGATGAATTATACTTTAATCAGCTAATATTCATCAAATAATGTTTCAGAAAAGTATATTTTAATTTTGGAAGATTTTTTAATGGGAATTACATTGTGATAAGTGAAGGTTAAAAATGGTGCTGAAATTGAATTTAATTTGATCTATTATTTTGAAATTAAAACTAAAATAAAAACTTGAAGAAAGATTTTTCATTCTTAAAAATTCATTTTAAACCTTAGGTATCTTGAATCTGTGGAGGTACCTAGATAAATATCAATGAGAGCTTTTTTATAAGAAATCAAAGTTTGAATGGGCTTTTATTTTGGTTTCCTTTTCTTATTTTTATTTAGTAATTTCATGACACTTTTAATTTACTATGTCTACTAACAAGTTTGTGTGATGACAAACTTAAATGTACAATTCAGATTAGTTATAATTGCAAGTGTTTTACTTTTTTCTTTTTTAATAAATGTTTTAATAAGAATATGACTAAAATATATTAGATTGGTATTAAAGTTTTATTCCTATATATTTGTCAATTTTAAAAAAATAATGCTTTGCATAATGATCCATATTCTTGCGACTGTACTTAAAATTTCTATTTTTGTGCATAGATTTTACTAGTGAGAATAATATTTGAGAAACATGTTGTACAACTTTTTTTAAACTTTCAACAATCCTTACAATACAATGAAAGTACCAGGAAAGAATAATGTTGTTAATCTAAAGCAGTGGTTCTCAAAGCCAGAGTTATAACCTAAATAAGGGTTTTGGGATGGGTTAGGAAAAAAAAATGTTAAAAGTAAGAAATAGTACAAATATATTTACATAATAATTTTGGAATATATATGACACTGAGATTGTGGAAGAGGAAAATAGCTGTAAATAATAAAGCATTGATAAATGTATATTAAAATCTGACAATGTATTTCATTCTGTTCACATCAGTAATTGGAACATGATACAATTGTAATAGTTCTTATTTCTGATGTTACTGTTTTCAGTGACTGACATAATATGATAATGTACCTGATACATTTACATGAAGTTGTTTCATTTACTTTGATCAACTTAAATATTGCAATTTATTGATTATTAATGTACAATTCTTTAAAATTCAATATTAAAACTAAATGAAGAAACACTGAAATTATGTTTCTGTTTAGGAGGGTCACCAGGTAAAAAATATTCCATTTAATGTTATGGCCAGAAAAATTTTGAAAACTCTGATCTCAAAGGGCTTTCTGGCCTAAATGTTTTTTAACTTGTTTTTTTTTCATTACTTCCTAATTCTCTGGTTTTGATTAGAAATTATGTTGTCAACATTGTGCTTTTTAGCCTGCTTTTTGATAGGTTTTTCTTTTCTAAATGCTACTAAAAAGGTATCCTCTTAGTAAAATAGCAGAGGCAAGCTTTCTACTTTTAACAATATATTTGATATTGTATGTTTTTTTTTTTTTTTTTAAAAACTTTACCTTGATTATATAAAACCTTGTACTCTTAATCAAATGGTCTTACATATATGCCCATTTAAAATTCTTATTATTTGATATAATATAAAATGATTATATTACAATATATAGCTTTATATCAGATCATCTAATTAATGCAAAAAGATTTAGTCTAATCTTCAATTAGATAAAATTCAGTCACTAATTATTAAATATCTCTGGTTTCTCCACCTTGGTGAGCGATTGAATTTGTTTAGTATGAATTTAATAGCCTTAAATTTAATTCAAAACCTTATTTTGTAGTGAGTATGTGTGCTTTTAAACAGATTTTCTTTTAATCTGGCATTATTTCTTATAACTATACATGGTGATGAAAAAGAGGATACAGGTTTGATTCTTGTTGAGAGGCACATCTTTCTTTAATAGGACTTCTTCATCTTCGCTAGTTGTTATCAATTTTGTTTAAGAAAATAAAAACTGGGATATCAACTCGAGGAGACACTGAAAATAACATTTATATCTATCTATCTATCTATCTATCTATCTATCTATCTATCTATCTATCTATCTATATATATATCTATCTATATATATATATATATATATATATATATATATATATATATATAATGAATTGTAATTAAATAAATGTCCATACTGATATATCTGCAACCATTTTTGTAATATTTTCTCAAATTAACAAAGTTAGTAGCATTGGCTCCATTAACATAGCTTTTGTTTGTCAGTTCAATGCAACTTTAAAGTTTATGAGCTAAAGAGACTAAAGTGTATCTAAATTTTAAGATTTAGGAAATCTTAAGATTTAGGAAATGGCTGAATGTAAAAAATGGGATTTGGATGTTAATGCTGAGTGACTTTGGTAGGATTATTTATTTGATATGAATAACTGATAAAACTAACAACATAAAAACTGCTTTTAAATAGACAAATTAAACGATTTTATTCCCTCAGTTGTTGGTTTAATAGTGTTTTGTTTATTGATAGTATGTGATGATATGACATATTGAAAACTTGTACATTTGCTTACATTTTGTTGAAGATCTTCCACTTGAGCCATCAATCTATAATTATGATATGACCTGAAAATAATTGTGTAGATATTCCTTGAAATGCAAAGTTAGTAAATAAGCAAATCTGTCATACTACAGTAGTATTAATAACTACAAAAATATATCCACATTATAAACTTATAAATTGATTTATACTTTCATTAAATTAGCAGTGAAAAGTTGAGATGGTATTTTATTGCCATTCCTTGAAGTAACCATAAACATATTTATATTTCCAAGTTTAGGTAGAATTTGTAAGAAATATTGTTTTATTTCAAGAAGAACAATTGGAGAGAAAAAGTAATGATGAACTGAAACTGATGAATTTCTTTAAATATTTTTCTGAAATTTTGAATGTCAATGAATTTTTATGACTTTCCATACCTTATGCTGTTTTAAGAATATATCATATTTATAAATATTAAAATTTTAATAATTGAAATAAAGTAATAGTTGAGATTTTATAGAACACATTTATCTTGTATATCCACAGTTGTAAAAGATTCAATCAATTTCAGATGGACTACATTCATTTATTTTTTAACAGCTAGTATTTTACCTGAAATATTTTGTTTTTCTTAAAAACACACAGCATCTTTTTTTGTAAGATTAATGATTACAGCCAGTTAAATAACAGCTCTGATAGAAAAATATATTTTATAAGCTAGAATAAATTTGAGCAAATAATATACAAATTTGACTTGTGTAATATTTTGAAGAAAATAATTCTCTTGATCTGACAAATGTCTTCAGTGCTTGGAAAATGAATTTGAAATATAACATTAATTTTTGTCATTATTGGAGATTGTTTCTAAGTATTTAAATCAATGTTTTCTATGTCTCTTTCCAGAGGAAATTCAGTAGTTTAATTCATTTCAAAATTAATGTTTCTAAATATCACTGTGTTGTGTCTGTAGAACTTTATAAACATTCATGGATGGATTGTCCTTATCTGTTAAGATGGCCACTAACAACATTTCAAAAAGTTACATTAGAGTTACAAATATTATCAAAATTCAAGTTCATTGACTTATCAAATAATCCTACACAACCAATACTGTTGTATAAGGTTTAGAGAAGGCATCATCTAATATTTCTTACTGTTGACATTTGTATTTGTTGGAGGAAAAAAAACACTTTATATGTCTTTCTATTGCATGAGAGATATTTGTTTTCTCTAATAGATGTATGGTCTTAAAAAATCTAACTGGATCCATATTTAATAACCATTCTCATTTCTTCTAGGCTGGTATGTATATTGATTTTAAAATACAATAATTGAGTGACTTACCATTTCACTAAATTATTGGTGATTGATTTTGCAAAAGATAGGAGAGAAAATTCAATATTGTAAAAATCCATAGTATATCATTTCTGCTGAATATTGTATTAGGTTCAGTATGTATTATGAATATATTGTCTTAGTAATGTGCCTAAAACTTCAAATCGGTAATATTTTTGTTGGCCGTTATAACAATTAATCAATTATTATTCTGTAATATTAAATTCCTGTTAAAAAGAAATGGATGGCACTGTTATAAAATGATCAAATGAAATGTTCTTAAGTTGGACTACTAAACAATCTAAAATACTTCTAGGCTGTAAAGTGTATTTCTTATTCAATTTTGACTCCCATTACCTTGTGATCTCAAATGGTCTGTATTACTTACCTTTAGTAATTAGCATCAGTTACTAGGATAGTTATTACAATAAAAGATCTATTGCCTTTTTTTTTTTTTTTTTTTTTTTTTCATGAAATTTTTTTTTTTAATCATCATAGTCAAATGATTTCCCATCAAATCTGTATAAACCTCGTTTTTGATATTGAGATGGACTCCTGCTGATAGTTCTTATTTATAAAACCAGAAATTTTCCAACTGGAACTCACTCACAGGTTAATTGGTTCTTGAATACTTTTGATTGTCTGTCATTGTAAATTATGCTGCATTTGGTATATTTTCATCTTCTTGAAGGTTGGGTGACCTCCTATGCTGCGAGACATGTCCTGCTGTCTACCATTTGAATTGTGTTGATCCTCCACTTCAAGAAGTTCCTGAGGATGATTGGTTATGTAATGTATGTAAAGCCCATCAGGTAAGATATATATTTAAGCATAATACAATATTATAATTTCTGCTTTTTTGTTTATTTCAGCATAATAATTGTTAACATTGTTTACTAATAATTATATTTCTATAGTTATTTTGAGGATGCAAACATTACAGTTTTAGTTGGAATTAATTTTTGAATTTAAATTGAAAGGAATTTCCAATTATTATTAAAATTGGTTATTTCATTTGAAATGTCTATTTGACAAGTTTCATCTTATCTATAAAAATCAGGTTTTATCTCACAAGACCTTATGTTTTTGGTTATTTAAATAAATTTTTTATTTTCATTTCTTTTTTAAAATTTTTTTGTTTTTAGTGCACAGGCACAGTTAAATACCGCTAAAAAACAGTTCTAGTTAAACAAATCATTAGATTGTCTTAACAACAACAAATTTTGACCCTATGGAGCATTAGACTGCAACAATACTATGCAAAGTTATATGCTGCTGCAGTTTCAGTAGCAAGTAAATTGTTTGTTTTAAAGTGGAGTTGCTATCCTCGTGCTAAAGTGCTTTAAATTCAGATTTGTCTTTATCCTAGACTGGCTGCCAACCAAGATTATAGAGTCCAGTTTTCCCTGCTATTTCATTCATAGTTGGGAAGAGCAGAAATGTATGGTTATTGAAGAATTTTATTTATTTTTTTTAATATTGTTTCTATGTTACATTTTTGTAGTTATTACATATTGCTTTGGTTTTACAAATAAATATTTTATGTTTATTATAGGTAAAAGGCTTGACAGATTGCATATCAGAAGCTGAGCGCAGTGGTTTACTTTGCCGCCATGAACCTATTGGTTATGACAGACATGGAAGAAACTATTGGTTTCTTATACGCAGAATCGTTGTGTAAGTAGAGCTCAAAGCAGTAGGTGACAGTCAATCCAGATTTCCTTTTACATCTCTCTGATTTGGCATCTTTATTAATACACAATATGTAACATTTTATCTGTTTAATTATAAATTCCAATATTAAGTAGAATAGTTTAAGCAAGGAATGAAAAATATATATTTTAGATACAAAATTTAGGTTATTTGAAAAAAATAGTTAATTAGAACCCATGATGATAATTGTGAGATCATACAGTAATCCATAGATCTCGACTGTTACAATAGTTCAATTATTATATCTCTAGTATAATTTCAAGACAACAAAACATTCTTTTCATTCAAAGATTCTTGTTTTTGTATTTGTTAAAATTTGATTTAACCAGAACAACAATAATAATGATTAATAATTTAAGCTGCATGTAAATGTTGACAGCAATTATTCACTCAGCCATTGAATACTGCATCATGTTAAGCAGAGATAAAATAAAAACAACATTAACCTTTAGCCCTCTGTATTATTTATATTACTTCCCTTTCCACTGCAATGCGTCTTAATTGAAGTATCCTTATTGTTAACTTCACTCAAAGTTGTTTTCTGTTGCCATAGCAGAATATGACAACACAACTATGAAATTCAAACTATTTTTCAGGGGTCAGAGTCACCTTCAGTGGCAGAATAAACTTTTTATACAGCGAATGAAGTCACATACAGAGTGATAAGGGTTAAAATAGTGAGGTCATATTAGGCAAACATGAGTGGTAAAGAGTAAATATACATGACCATAATAGATGCATACAAATATGGAAAATGACTTTTTTCCTCTCTTTTTTAAACTTGGACATAATTATTTTTTTTTAACTAGTATTGTAACAATTTCATTCATATGTTTTTTTTTTCTTCTTTTCATGTTACATCAGTTGCTTGTCTTTAACCTTTTGCAAATTGTGTGCTTCACGATGAATACTTTTCTGAAAATGCATCTTCAATCTAAAAAAAAAAAAAATTCCACATTTCATGCATTATGGTCTTTTTTTTTTTTTTTCATTAACCTATCATTCATTTTCTTTTTTTTTTTAATATAAACTCACTTCATGATATATTTTGATATTGTTTTATTTTATCTTTGCTTAGTATAATTTTCTGTTAAATGTACCTGCTTGCATGGTGACAATTCACAAATAATTTAATTCTCATGGGACACATAATTGTCAGCTTAACCTATCAAAGCCCATTATAAAATCTGGTATTAACTTTTATCAGTCTGCAATATTCATAAGTATTTCATCGATTGGGTATAAGTGGCCAGACAACAGCCGTAACATCATCTTTGATTTTCAGTTAATCATTTTCCTGTTGCCATAGTAGGATATGACAACACTAGTGCAAAATTCAATCACACTATTGTCAGATGATCAGAGTTACATGCAGTGGCTGTACAAACATTTTGTTTGACAAATGAAGTTGCCTATATACAGAGTGCTTAAAAAAAATAATTATAGGTTTTTGCCTATAACCCACTAAGGCCCACTACATTGTCTCATTTTTGGGACAGCCTTAATATATATGTTACTCTTTTGCACTGACATTAGTTTACTATGTTCTATATTTAGATTAAGAATAAAATCAATATTAGAAAAACATTTTTCTAGTAGAGTTTAAATAAGACCATTTACATCTTTGAAGCATTTCAAACTGTTAGAGATTTAAATCTGCCCTTTGACATTTCTTTTGCTTGTAAATCACTTAAACAGTAATAATATAAAATATCATTGTTTATAAGATGATAGTAGATATGTGCATGCATTTTAAGCAATGTTTAATTAAATAACTTTAAACATGCTAATATAAGGCTTTTCCAATTTATGGGATTTTTTTTAGTATATGGTATATAATTTCTTTTTCTGTTGTTTTGATATTTTGTATTTTAACTGTCCTTTAAATTATAGTAAATATAAATTGTTGTAATTTAATTTTACAAAATCTGATTTCTTTCAGGGAAAAAGATAATGAAACATGGTACTACAGCTCAAAGGTTCAATTGGAAGAGTTACTGGAAACTCTGGACAATGATGAATGGGAAGCAGATTTAGTTGATGCTATCAATGAAATAAAGGATGATGTCTTAAGGCATATGAGCCTGACAGAAGACTTGACTAATACAGCAAAAGGAAACAAAAAATCTGTTTTAGAAATTGAAAATGGTATTTTTTCTTTGTCAATACATTATTATTAATTTTTCTTGAAAGTTAATCAATTTCTAATTGTTATTACATTTATACCCATTTTTTTTCTCTAACTCACTGTGTTTTGGTTGGTTTAGCAAATCTTTTGAAAGTACAAACAGAGAGGGCTGCAAAACGCGCTCAGGAGGAGGCTGAGAGAAAAGCACGAGAAGAAGAGGAACAGCGGAAGCGAGAGGAAGAAGAGAGATTACGTCAGGAGGCAGCCAAGATTGAAAGGGAACAGGAACAGCAGCAGCAGCAGCAGCTGTTGCAAAACTCAGAATCTGTAGCACAGGTAGATAGGCATGAACTTTCTTTTTTCTGTATTCATCTCTCTCACAAATACAAAATTAATGTCAATCTCTTTCTGTTTTGTAAGCAGTTTGTAATTCTGTGAAAATCTGTGGAACGTTTTCTTTATTCAGAAATCCTGCAAAGTTATGACATTTGATGCTTTTATTTTGGTGGTCTAGTAGTCAAAGCTTTTTATTCATATTTAACCAATGTTTTCAAACTATATAAAAATATTTTTTTTATTATTTTTTATGAAATCAAGTTGGGAACGGATTTTTAATACAAATATTTATTTAAAAATTGAAATAATTTTGTTTGTTCTTTATTTTTTAAGGAAATTATTTATTTATTTTTTTTTTTTTGCTTTAACTGAACAATAATGACTTTTTGAAAGCAAGGAAATTTTTAACCATATTTATTAAAATATTTCTTGAAATTGTGCGGTTTTATTTTGTAGAATTCCATGCTTTCTGGTTGTACGTCCATGGTAGGAAGCAGCAGTGGTTCAGTTTTCATCATTCCTTCCAGCACAGCAGATGGCTCTCTTGTGCACAGTACAAATGCATCAGGAGATTGCAAAGAGAAGAGCAGTGAAACGGGAACATTTGTCGCAGGGAGTTCAGTACCTATTTCCACACCAGGTTTGATGACACCACCAAAGCCTGTGGAAGGAATTTCAGTTGAAGATGAAGAAAAAAAACAGAATGAGAAGACAGAGACAGGTTAGTATGTTAATAATACTTCTTTCTTTAAAAGTCATATTTACTCCAGTTCCATGACTTTGTATTTGTACTGACTGGCACCAACTAACTTAGAGAAGTTATTGTAGCCACCAGTAACTATGTAACTTGTGATTTAGCAGAATCTTGTAAATTTCTATAAACTATTTCCTAATTTTTGACATGTTACTGGAAGTACTGATCAATGTTTTATGAGATTAGATGACTAGTTTAGTTCATTTTATTGTTGTAACATTCTTGCTTTTAGAATTCACTTTATCTCTCACATCTCTGCTTACTATTTGTAATGAAAAGCTGGCAAATTGGATATTTATAATTAATGTTATTTATGCACTTAGGAATATTTAACTTCTGTTTAACAAATAGCTTTATGATAATAATTTCAATTATTCTTTTGTACTATTTTAATTTTAATTGCTCTTCAGAAACTCGAAGAATTGTAACTCGGTCTAAGACAGGTTCATTAACCCCCAAACAGTTCACAGATTCAATCACCAGTAGTTCAACAAAGGGTAACCGCTTACCAAACTCTGAGGATGTTGTTTTAGTAAATAAAGAAGGTGAATTGACTCGCGTTACTCGAAGTAAAAGTAGTTCTACAAATACTTCTTCTGGATACTTCAGACTGGGTAAGTAAAAAGTATGATATTTGTACACTGACATATATGTTTTTTGTAATAACATTTTCTTTCCAGGGTTGGTGTTAAGATCTGGCAAATTTATCACTATCTGCCTTGATAAATTTATAAAAAAAAAAAATCTACTATGTCTTATTGAAACTTTTAAAATCTTCCTGGAAGCAGTGAGAATTATTTGAAACATAGCATTTGGGATTATCTATATTCAAAAGCTGTTTAAATCTACCATATGTTAAGTAGCAAAATATTTAAATGTGTATCTATCTATTTATTCAAATGACCCACATTTGAAATCCATTTGGACAAAACTTTTCAAATATGTTAAGTCAGTGAATTGATACAGAATATGTGGAGTATAGTTTATAAAAGTTTGTATAGAAAACACATTGTATAGTTTGCTAACGTTAAAATTATGCACAAAATAATAATTTTAAAGCATTCTATCTTCTTTTTGTCTTTGAAGAACCTATGTGTCAAAATGAAATGATTGAGTTTTTATTTTGTATTCATCTGGCTGGATAATCCTCTTAAAAAAGAAAAATAAATAAAATTAAAAAAAAAAAAAATGGTGCACTCACTCTTATCTGAGGATGCCGTCTACTAGAATGGTGAGCTAATTCCTGCTGCAGACACCTACTCGGGTATTGTGTTTGTTCAACACCCACAGAACTCACCTGTGGTTTATACTGCAACTATGCCAAGCGAACATTAGTTACAGTTTCTGGGAGAGAGTGTGTTATCTAGCATAATCAACAGTCTGAACAAGGCCAGCATGCTCAAACCCTCGATCATGATGACTTGTGACTTCGTGCTAGCATAACTGAAAATATCTACTATGTCATATTGAAACTTTTAAAACCTTCCTGGAAGGAGTGAGAATGCTTTGAAAATTTTGGATTATCTTGATATTTGTATTCAAAAGCTGTCTAAAATCTATCCTTCAAGTAGTTATTTATACAAAAGAAAACAAAGGTTCCTCCAATTTAAATCTCTTATAAATATCAAACAACAACAACAACTTCTTGAAACTAGTGTTCTGTTAGATGATTTTAACATGTTTCAAAAGAACATAAAAAATATTAAAACAAGTTTAAAAACTAAAGAGATTTACATCTTAGTTTTAATTTTCTTTTTTTATCATTCTTTCACAAAATATTCTTTGCTAATGACAGGGTAATGCTCGAGGAGCCAGGAAAGGTGATGCTATGCATCAAAATGATGTTTTATGTTTAGTAAAGAATAAATGCTCTTGAAATGATGATTACATTATTAGTTGTATTAGTTAATGGCTTACGGCCATATCATGTTGAAACACTGGTTCTCATACAATCACCAAAGTTAAGCAATGTCGAGCCTGGTTATTATCTAGATGGATGACCGCTTGAGAATACCAGATGCTGTAAGCTTGGATGTGTAAGTAGTGTAATGGATAACAACTTATAATTGTTAATCAGAGAGCCAAGTTCCACTTCCACTTGAGTTCATTATATTCACATTTCACTTGGAAAAGGTATGGATCAAACTCTTGTTTCCCACCCCAAAACTATGGTTTAATTAATAGGACTTGTATCAGTAATCATTATTATCTCCAAAAGTTCTTACAATCTAAAAATATTTTCTGGCTTTCAATAACCTGCAAAAGATTGATAAGCCGTCAAAAACCAATCAATCAATCAATGTAATAGCTTACACACTATTATAATCAGACTGGCTCTGAAAATCTTGTATCATTAAATTCCAAATAATAACAAATTTCTTGTATTTAAATATTTTTCATAGATTTGTACAATTAAACACTTTGGCTTGAATATAAAGGAAGTGTTAACTTGTTTTTCTTTCATGGTTATAAATGTCTTGAACATACATTGCTATTTAAATACCTTCTTTTTATCTTAGTATGTGTGTTTTTACTGAGCTAATTTCTTTTTTCTTACAGGCAATGAAAACAATTACAAATCATTTAGTAACCAATATTCTGTCAATGCTTTGGCTCTCAACAAACATCAACATAATGAAGAAAGAGATAAGAAACGCTTTTTGTCTCACAAATTTAGTTTAACACCATTAAGTGAATTTAAATGGAATGGTAGTCTCTATGGTAATCGTATATTAACAATCTCCACATTGAGATTAAGCATTACTCAACTTGAGAGCAATCTTCCAACCCCTTTTCTGCACCCCAACTGGGCCATCCACCGGCAAAACTGGCAAAAAGCTGTGCATATGTGCCAGAATCCTCAGGATTTTGCTCTTGCCCTTGCTATTCTGGAGGCTTGTATCAAGCCTGTACTCTTCAATCCTGTGTGGACAGAATCACTTGGTTAGTACAAGTTTTTAATTAAGGTTTTATCTTTTTTAATTAATTTATTTATTTTCATTAAGAAGAGTCATTCTTCTAAAATCCTTCTCATTTACTGAAGTAAGTATAAGCCAACAATATTGATTATTTGTTTCTATAAGCAAACTGTAAACTTTATCAATTTGACTTTCAAGTGAATAAAAAGAAAGATTTTATAAAGTTATTAGTTTGGTGATTACTTATTTAATTTCTAACAAATTTAAGCCTTTCTTTCTTTAAATAATTATTATATTTTTCATGTTTGCAAGTTTTTTATGCATTATAGAAACAAAACTTGTAAATATCCTGTTTTATGGCTCTATCAAGTCAAATGGTTGGGAATTTGAAAGTTTTCATATAATTTCTTTTATGAGCATTAATGTTTGTTGGATAATTTTAGAATAAATCATTGAAAATGATATTCCAAAATTTATTAAATAATTTAATGTATCTGAAAATCCTAATTATGTTCTGTTTCATATCTTTAATTTTTCTTTTCTTTAGGACATCATCGACTGCAAAAGATAACTGCCATGGATCGTGAAGAAATGAAAAAGAAGGAGAAAGAACAACGTAAACGTCGAGAAGAGGAAGATGATCCAAGTCGACTTGTATGGATCAAGTATCCACTTGGCCTTAAGCATCAGGTATTTTTTTTCTTTGAAGTTTTACATCAAAACAGATTGAATTGAAAATGGTAATGTAGAAATCCTAGTAAATATTAGGATTGTTTTTTCTGATTTCATTTGATCTCTTTAAATAGATCTTCATCTATCATTTATAACAAAAAAGGTTTACAGTCTTATGCACATATAGTACATACAGTACTTTTTTCATAATATGAAACTGATGTTTCTATATTTCTGAGATGAGGCATTGTAACTATTTACACTATTTACATTATTCAGACTGTTGTGCTCATCTTTATGCCTAGTGGATAAAAGTGTTGGTTGAAGTAATCTAGGGATTTGACCGAAAGAGTTGTGTGTTCAATATCTGACCACAACAGAAGTGAACAAAACTTTGAGAGTTGAGTTGAAACTGAGATATACAGAAAAGGCATGGCAGGTGGAACTAGAACAATTTTTCACCGTGGGTGAAATAAAGAGTTCGAAATGAATCAAATGAAATTCCAACACATATCACCTGAAGATGGCCATAATGTACAATGGCCGAAATGTCATGAATAATGTCAACAAAGATGAGGACAATGGTCTGAACAATGTAAATAGTCTAAATGAAACTTATGGTTGTTGTAGATTCTCTTTTTAGAATTATTTTCTATTACCATTCTTCTGAGACTTTGTGTTTCTTTCAGTTATACATTTTTAATATACCCCCTTACATTATATAATTAAAAGAAATATGTGTTAATATTGACATTTTGCATGTTTATAATTCTAGTTGTTATGGTGCATCATGACAATGAAATGAGTGTCATTAGTTTGTTTCTGTTCTCACTTTTAAAATGGATAATTAAAATTTGATTTAAGGGTTTTTTTGTTTTTTTTTGTATCCAGAAGAAATGCCGTATAGGGAATCATTTTTATCTATCACTTCCTTTTTTTTTTTTGGTGTGGAGGAAGCCAATATTTAATGCTTATTAATACATTGAACTCTGTGTATTAATAGCCATCAGATCACTTTCTGTTTGTTTTAGGAAGACGTATATCAAGTTAATAAAATGTCATGTCTTTGTCAACATATTTGTTTCTTAAAATAAGTATGAAAGATGTTGAGTATAATTTTTTGATTTATCTTCTGTTCTTTTCAAGAGCTTTGTATAAAGTTCATTTATTTTTTTAATATTCTCCTAAGCTTTTATTTCCAATACAATGCATTATATAAATTCCTCTTTATGAGCTGGTATTGTGATATTGTGTTGTTCTTACTTTATATCACATTCTTTATTACTATAGAAATGGGAATTCACAAAAGCATTGAGAAATGTTTAAATTTTTATTTTAAAGTCATGTGAACTTTTGTCCCTATTTCAGTTATAAAGTAATGAAGGCTAGTTTCAAAGGAAGAAATTATAATTTTAAATTTTTTTCCAAACAACATCAATGTTATAATCCCTCTCTGTCATACCTTTCCTCAGGTTTGGAAACAAAAAGGAGAAGAATACCGAATTACCGGTGGTCATGGTTGGTTATGGGTTGGAGCAACAAGGGTCTACAATCTTGTTCCTATGGACACGGTTGGCTTGCGTGCTGTTGCAGCTAAGCTTCAAGCTCGTAAACGCAAATCTGGTGAAGATACACCTACGAAACTTTCCAAAATTGCTAAGAAAGAAAATGGTGATGCTGAGAATAGAGAAATTGGTGACCTCAAACAAGAAGATGCAAATGAAAGCAAAAACCTTGGAGTATCAGGAGGCAGTGGTGACAGCATTTGCAATATGGAAGTTGATGAGAATTGTGTGAAAGTGGAACTAACTGAGCCCAACATGAACAGTGAAGGAAGCGTGAAGGATGAGGCCAAAAGCTCTACTGAGGTTTCCAATGCAAAGATGGAAATAGATGTTCGTAGTGAGGCAAAACATATTGAATCTTCAGCATCATTATCCACCAAAGTGGCAAGCATGTTTAATAAGGAGGGTGCTGAAGTCACAGTGGGAGAAGGGAGTAAAACTGAGGAGATCGCAAATGAAGTTGAAATGAAAACTGAAGACAACACTGATTTGAAAGCAAAATGCAATTTGCCAACAAATTGCAACAAGATGAACAAATGTGTTTTCCTTGCTCCTCCATATTCAGGTTTGCCTCCTAAGGTAGATGTGGACATCATTGATGTAAGTGAGGCCATCCAGGAGAAGACTTACTATCCTAAAGCAGTTAAGCCTCCTTCAAAATTAGATTGCCTCTTAGAACGTCGTCTCAAGTGTGATGAAATGGAGAAGAAACAGAGATTAGCAATTGAACAGCAGATAAACATTAAATTGAAACTGCAGGCTGCCAACTCACAGGTAAAGATCCTTACTACAGCTCTAAAATCAGAACAGAAGGTAGCTCAGGAAAATATTAACCCTGCTGTACGATATACTTGTTACTGCATTGCTTGTCGTCAGAAATCTACTTTTGTTAAACAAGGAATTTCTATAACAACCAGTACAGCTGCTGCCACTGGCCTCTCCTCTTGTTACTCTCCATCTTGTCGAAGAGCCAAGCCTACTGTTACTGCCACCACTTTGCTGACTTCCTCAGTTATTGCTGCCCCCACTGCTACGGTTGCTGCTGGTAGCTCACTATTGAAAACTATCACACAGTTAACAACTTTAGCCTCAACGACAGCACCGGCAGTTGCAACTTCAGTGGTCAAAACTGTTCCTATGGTCACTGCAACCACAGCCATTCCTAACAAACCTATAATGGTTGCAAGCCCAGTAGCTAAACCTACTATGGTTGCAGTTCCATCAGCTAGTGCTATTGTGACTGCATGTACAAGTACTGTAGTGGCCACACCAGCAACCATAGTGACGGCTGCTGTACCTACTATTCCAGCAACCATTGTAACAACAACTGCAAACCTTAGTACAGCCACTCCTCAAACCACACTGGTAACAGCAGCACCAGCTGCTATCTCAGTTGTAGCCAAAGTAGTTTCATCTGCAGCTTCTACCATAACAGCAACTAATACAAGTGTCCCAACAATACCTGTAGTGACACCTACAACAACAACAGCAGTACCAGCTTCCAAGCCTGCTGTAACAACAATAACTGGAACAACATCAGCTACTGCAGTCTCTACTCTACCTGCCAGCATAGCATCATCTGCTGTTCGTATTATCCCAGTAACTGTTGCAACATCTGCTATATCAGTGTCTGCAGCCAACTCTACTGTGCCAACTATACCAGTAACGATAGCATCAATGGTCTCTACAACAAATTCTGTCACCCCAACAGCACCTCCCTCGTCAGCTCCTACTACACAACAAGTTACTATTGCAATGCCCTCCTCACATCCTCTGACTGCCAAAATTCCTGTCTCCATAACAACTCCAGTAACCACAACTGCCATGGTGGTAATAACTGCTCCTGCATCACTTAATTCTCTTAACAAATCAACGGCTCTACCACCAACAAGCATGGAAAAGACTTCTGTGAAGACGTTAATAGTTAATGGGAAGAAAGCAGACAGCGATACATCGGCTACAAACAATAATAAAGAAGAAGAAATTGATGTAGAAGGGGACAAGGAAAACACTTCCAAATCCCTTCTTGTCAATTCTGAGAATTCCTCAAAACCTTTGGCTGATGGAATTGTAGTCAGCAAAACTCTGCTTCCAAAATTGTCTTCAGACATATCACTGCTGCCATCTAGTGGTGTAGCCCTGGCTAAAGCTGCCTCTGTCACTTCAGGCGAGGTGAAGAGTAGCCCTGCTAAAGTAAGTACTACCATGGCCACTACTAACAGCAGTACTGTGGCACAGCTACTGACGGCTAAACCTGCTATTGCACCAACATTGACTCCTGCCCAAATTGCTGCACGTCAGGCCCTGGCTGCTATGACAGTTGATGAACTCAGGGCCAAGATTCCCCCAATAAGGACTACAAAAGATAAATTTAGACTCCCCAAATTTTCAAAAATAGGCAAAAGGACCAAAATGCTGCGGAAGAGCAGTTTACCTGTATGTCAAAAATTTCAGACGCCCGGAAAATGGAAAAGCATTTTTGTTTTAGAAATGCATGATCTGAAACGTATGGCAAGGAAGGGTGGCAATATGGAAGCATCAGGCTTCAACTACAACTGTAAAATGAACCATGTAAACTGGATTTATCAATGTCCGCGGCCTTCTTTTAAATCTGCTTGGCGCTATCGCACACAAACTTTAAAATCCCTAGCAGCAGCTGGCCTGCAACTGCGGATTCTCTGGGTGTGTTTACGATGGGATGATATGGCTGTGAAGGCCCCTGCAGGGGGGACCAACACTGTCTCCACAGAAACTGAAATTACCACTACTGAACTGTTGAAAAGACGAGATATAGGCCCATATGGTTTGCGCTCTGAGTTCTTAGTGCGCAAAATTGTTGTACCTATTGGCCTACCTAGTCAGCAAAGAGGTTAGTTCAGATTTTTTTATTGCATTACTTTTTGTTTTTTAATTTTTCTTTAATTTCCTTGAATTATTTTAATGCTTACTTTTAATATGAAATCAAATTTTATTTATATTTTATTTCCTATTTGCCATTAATAATAAATTTCTTGAATCTGTGATATGTCTATTTTGGAAAATTGTGTATTTAACTCTTAATTTCATGTTGATATAATTTGGTAATTTGCTTATTACAAATGTACAAAACATATTGGCATTTCTACAGAAACTTACCTCCCTAAGAAAGAATAATTTAAAATCATTTTTTTTTCTTATTACCATCAAATAAGCATTCCATTTCACAAATATTTTTTTTTTAATTTTAAGAGGGTGGTCAGTTTGCTAATTTAAATTCATTGTAAATTGATCCCCCCCTAACAACAAGCAAAAAATATATACACATATCACCTATTCTTCCTTACCTCACAAAATTTCAAATAATTTCAAATTAAAATAAAAATGTTAATATATTATTTATAATATAGCTTTATATGGTTTAGTCAACAGTATTTTAATAATTCTATATCTCTTGTATGATGCAACTAACTTGAAATTAGCTTCAAAATTAGGTCTTCAAAAGTTGCATGATATGCAGTACATACAAAATTTAAAAAATAAAACTTTGACACAAAATCTCTGATAAAAAACACTGGACAGTGCTGAATTATTTTTGTTTTAACAGTGAATAATCTTTCTATCATACACACACACACACAAATGGGGTATCCAAAAAGTCTTGAAGGATATCTGATATTTTTGTTAATTTCATTTTTTTTCCAAATGCACTTGACAAATTGAAGATAAATTTCAATGATGTAATAAAAAGATAATCAAATTTATATGGTCATCATTATGAGAAGGTTGAAATATTTCAATTCCTTTTTATGATGTCCAGTATTTATAATAATTCATCAGTTTTCATATTTCATTCTATGTGTTAATAAATTAAAAATAACAAACATTTAACTGCCTGCTTACTGTATGTCATTGTCAGTGCTTTCATGCAGATTTGGAAACACAAGTAGAAAACAGAAAAAAAGATTTTCCTGACAAACTGGAACTAAAATGGTCCTATGGATAATGTTGAAGCAACTATAATTGTTTTCAAAAGAATTTTGAAAGCCAATGAAATGGAAATACTCAGTTTACATAAAGTTTTAAAAGAAAAAAATATTGAATTTATTGTAAAATAATTTTTTTTTTTTTAATTATTTATTTATTTATTTTATTTTATTTTTTTTAATTATTTTATTCTCTTATCTATTATTTTTTCTAAATAGGATTCATTTTTTTCTGGTAATATATTTTTTTTATATTTGCCACATTATATGAATAATTTGAATTGATATTAATACTCTGATTTGCAGTTTTAAACATTATATAATTTTCTTGGTGAATCTTTGTTAAATGCTTTACCATGTCTCTTTCCCCCCTTTTTTTTTTTTTTTTTTAACTGTGACAATAGAATAAGCATTATGAATTTGACTTAGCAATATTAGAGTCAAATAAGAGACCATATTAAATTTTTTTCTTTTATATATTACTGTAAATTTCTATATCAAAATATAATTCTTATGTTGTGACTTTAAATACTTGACTTTTATTATTAGAGAGAACCCTCCATTCTACTTCAATAGATATACCCAAAATGTTTATTTTTTCTTTTTTTAGTTAATGTCTTCTATTAAGAATTCTTACACTCTCTTACTGATTGAATATTTTTCCCTCTCTGAGTATAAAATGAAATTAAATGTCATTTATTCAGATCTTTTCAGTTGAAATGAAAGAAATAAAGTTTGAAACCCCTCCAATTTTGAACATCTTGTTTCTTAACAATTATTATTGAAGTATTGATATATTGAACTTGTAAATTTTTCAGTTCATTTATTTCTGAGTGAATTTGATTGTTGTGCGCATTTATTTTAAATGTAAACCGTATCAAAGAACATATTAATTTTCTCTTAAAGAACTGAATCATTGAAATGAAAAAAATGCTTTTGCTTATAATAATGGTGTTTTATTTGTATTATTGAATCTTGTTACCATTTGCTTGTGTGCTTTTAACTTATTAGATTTATCTTTTCATAAGTCTAAAATATTTTCAATTTCTATACTTTGCAACATCACTGATTTCTTTGAAACCCTTAAAGATGTAAAAATATGAAAATAAAAATTTTGTTAATACAAAATTATTTGGCCTAGCAAACTTTATTAATTTTTTTTTTAAGTTATGGATATTGATTTTTAAAAAAATCTTTTTGATTTTCAGGGAATCAAAGTTAAAATTGAAAAATGTGTATAATTTTTGTTTATATTAGAAATAATAAATAAAAAAAATCTAACTGAAATCTGACATTAAGTCAAAAAATAATACTGCTAATGAGTCTATTTTGCTACATAGGTTTTGATTGGCTAGCATAAATAGATGCTAGGGATGTAGGGTGGGGTATATGAATTCCTTGTTTGTAAACAACATCCCATGTGCTATAAAATCAAGGGAGTTAATTCATGTAATATAATTTTTTAAAGAGTTATGATTTTTTTTGTAAAATTTTATTAATCAAAATATTTTCTTTAAGCTTATATTTGTATTTAATATTGTATATTTTTAAATTTTGTAATGATTTGATGTATTAAACTGTTAATTATATAATTTTTAAATAGAAATATTTTATAAACTTATAGAATCAGCAACTTTAAACATTAAAGAAATGTTTAATTTGAATGGGCATTTTCATGCTTATCAACATTTATATATTGAGAACACTTCATATTTGAACTTGTTTTAAAACAAGTTCAAATATGAATTTTTTTTTATTTTATTCTTTAATATTTTTTTATCTAATTTATGCTGTTTTGTAAAAATGGTGCTTTTGTTATTTTTCTTTTTTCTTTTCTTTTTTCTTTTTTCTTTTTTTTTTTTTTTTTGTAAGCCAATATTTTTTGTGTAGTTCGTTAAATACTCTCTGGAACCATTTGCTTTGTAAATGGGTGGTTGACTACAATATTTATAAAAAAAAAATAATTCTAGAAAATATACTTAAATGCTATATTTATTATATCTTATAATTGTTTTCAATATGGATAATTATCAATACTTATAATAAAAGCATTATTTGTGATACTAATCAAGATGCTATGATATCAGTATTAAATTTGGCTAGTTAACTCTTGAAAGGCACAAGTTAAATTGTAGTAACTTTAAATATAGGCATATGTGGAATACCTTCTGTTTAAGAGGGACTTAAATTTACAATAGTAGAATTATGATAAGTAAATGTAGTTGAAAATGTGAAATATGATATCAAAAGAGGATAATACTTTAAGAAATACTGATCCTTTGGTTTGTGTAAAGATCATAGAAAGCTAAAATTGAGCAACAATATGAATTAAAATAAATAAAAAAAAAAATTGTCATGTTAAAATATTGATGCAGATCAACTTGGATATTGTACCTAAGCAAAATATATAAAGCTTGTTTGATTTTAGCAAGAAATATTGCAGAAAAATATTAAGTGTACATTTGAAAAAGTAGTTGTTTTCAGGGAAACAAGTTTTCTAATGCTTGAATATTTCTTTGTGTTTTGTAGAAAAATATACTCCTCAACGAAGTGGTTTACGTGAACGTAAACGAGCAGAATCTCCAAAGCAGACTGAACCCAGTGTCACTGAAACTTGGACACCTGAGGAGCAGTTGGAACTCTGGGAAATTAAACAATTTGGTGAAAAGTAAGAGAATTTATTTTATTATTTTGTGTAATCATTTATAGGTATTTATTTAAAAAAAAAAATTGTTTGTGAAAATTAGCACTGATAATATTGACAAAATATTTAAAACTGATCAATCCTATGAAGCACTTGGGAGCAAATTTCAAATCTTGTGGCTTTGAATTTACCAGTGAATGTTTTTTTTCTTTTTTGTACCGTAGTTACTTCTGATAATTGTTAATGTTTCTGACAATTAAAAATGATAACATTTGCATTTCTCTTGTTGGTAATTTGGTAAACCAAATCCTACTTGAACAAAATCAGAATATAAGAAGCTGTTTTATAACAGGAATGGTAAGTTGGTTAGGAATTGAGTTTGAGAATTGATCAGTTCTGATAGGATGTCATTAAAAATATCCTATCTTACCCCACCCTTTGAAGAATTTAATCTGATTTTCCTGTTTTTTTTTTTTGTTTTTTTTGTTTTTTTCAGGTGTTTTAAAATTCTGTGACAGCTCTAAGTTAATCTGGTTTAATTAAAATAATGTACTAATTCATTATCATCAAATATCAAAATTAAAATTTTGTTTAAGAATTTATATAAATTGCTAGATAAAGTGAAATTAACATTGTACCTAAATGTTAAATTCCAAATGCTTATCTGATCAATCCTCTAAATTATAGTCATTATTTTACATAAAAAGAGATTAAAATTCATGTCTTAAATAGGTCTGTTATGTTTTAGAGTTTTTTAGTCTTAATTATCCAAGAATGCCATAAATAAAACCAAACATCATTAAACTTTCTTTGATGAGTTGCCCATGTTAGTCACTCCCCCACCTCTTAATTTTTATAGTACTAAAGTCTTGAAGTATTTTGCCTCTATTTAACCAAACAAATTAATTTTCTGAATTTTTCATTTTGTGCAGGCTAGAGAAACAGCGAGCAGCTCTACAAGAAAAGTCTAGTCAAAGATCTAGCGGTAGCAGTTCAGGTAGTTCTTCTGGTACAGGTCTTGTCCAAAATGCAGCTCAGATAAAAGCACAGATGGAACTGCAATTAAAACAACAAAGACAAAACCTTCAACAAAAACGACTCTTGCAGGATGCCAGCAAGAACAGTACAGCCAGTTCAGGTGGTACAGTCGTAACACTAGCCTTGGGAACTAATACCACAACTTCGTTGAAGGCCACAAGTACCCCCACCATCATCTCAGCCCCAGCAGTTATCAAACGGGTTCAAGTGCAGCCAAAGACCATTATTGCTTCTCCAGGTTAATTATCTTCTTTATCTGTAACTTCTCTCAATGGTTTTTTTTAATTTCATTCAAAAATGTTTATTTTAGTAATATTTTTCAGATACAAAGAGTTTGAATTTTCAAATTTCCTAGATAACTTCTATTTTTCTTTCATTTTTTTTTTTTTTTTTAAATAAATGTAAGGATTGTAATTCCTTGAGTAATTTAAAGTTGAAAATGATTTGATTATTAAAAGAAATTTGGTTACAATAGTTTTTAAACTTAAATCCATGAAGAGGATTTTTTTTTTTTTTTTTTTTTTTTTTTTTTAGCTACTAGATATTTAAAATATTTACTTAGGGAACTTTTATTGTGGCCTAAATTTTGGTTAAAATCAATGTTAGCCCCATGATTAATATGCAGAGCTGGATTTACCTTTCTGATTAGGTGTGCTTAAGCAGAGGGTCCCATTGGCCAGGGGAAACCCCCATCTTCCTTCCATGACTGTAGGCATACCAGGCCTACCTCTTTCAGAGCCTGAGTAAGGAGACTCATAACTTTACTAGCACAGGGCTTCATTTGTCCTAAATTCAGTGCTGACAATACATTCACACAGTCATGATTTTGGGAAATGATTTTATATTTTCAATTATTTAAAATCTGTGAAGATGGTTTTTGATGTTTATTCTTTCTTGTTTGATAAAATTAGGTATATAGAGATAATAATAAAAACAACATTGAACCAGTTTTGGATAGGGCTGATGGTTATTCCAAAGTCAGAAAAAGAACTTTTGACCTCTTATTACTAACTACATTTGAATCCAAAGTGAAATTTGTATCCAAGGGACTTTTTTTTTTTTTTTTTTTTTTTTTTTTTTTAACCATGGTATTAATTTAGATGACTTGGAAATGAGATATATATATATATATATATATATATATGTGTGGTATGCATTGACTTCTTGGTTATATAGGACCGACTGATCACTATTTGGGCTTTGTTTGAAATATATATATATACGAGAAAGATAGATATAGATAGTTATAGATATAGATTTATGGATATAATATTATATAAAAAGATTATTAACTTTAATATCAATTTCAAAGTTTCTTGATAATGACTATTCTTCAAGGGGTTCTGTTTTTTAAATAATATTTCCTATTTTAGACGCAAAATAAAACAAGTTTTTTAATCAAAATTTCGAATGTTCTAAAAAGGATGAAAAAATTAATAAAATAATCAAAAAATACTTTGGTTTTTCCTCTTAATAATAACATAAACATTTAGACAGTAAAAATTTTGTTTTCATCAAGTTTGGAGCCTTTTTCATCATGGTATGCTCTTTTTTAGCAAAAGAGTGGTGATACCTAATTAAAGCCAACATATTTTTAATTTATTTGTTTAAAAGTTATTTTAATGGATACTCTTATTTGAGTAGATGCTCTGCTTTTATTTATTTAATATATATTAAATAAAAACAGCATCTACTCAAATATAAGTATCCATTAAAAATATGAGTTTGTCTATTATTAAAGGAAAGAAGTATTTCTATTTTTTATTTTTGCATCAGACTTTTATATTAATTCATTTTTGTTAATTTTTAAATAAGGAATTCTAATTTTTTCACATTTTTATTACTTTTAACACTTGTGCTTTGAATTGTCCAAGTTTTATTTAATAATATTCTTGAATGATGATCAAAGTTATCTACTTTTTGTAATGATGATATAAGCAACTATTATTTTATGTTATATATATATTATAATGAGTTTACTATATTGGTCAGTCAATCATTAGGTAGCATTGTATTCAGTTAGTAAGTCCAATTTTATTGATGTTTTTATTAGCATTTTCAGTTTCAGTACCTGATAAAATAGAATAGCAAAATTTTTATATGGGCAGGGGGTATAAAAATATTTGTTTATGTTTCTTTTTTTTTTTTTTGTTACATATTTTAAAATTTTGTTATGGTCCTTTTTAGTCATTAATGAATACATAATTATTGCTGTAAGTGAAAGTTGGAATTTTAAACACTTGTTTGGGCATGCTCACTGTATCAATATTATCCACTTGTCTGCCTTTTACTATTATTCATGTAGGTAGGACTTATTAACAGTAATGAATGGCACATTTGAAGATTTTATTAAAATTGATAAAAATAAGAAAGAATATTCTTATTGAATATTCTTCTTCATTTAAAGCATAAGTTTATTAAGATTTGGCTTGAGTTCATAAGTTGATTAGACCTGCAAGCATTAAATAAAAAAGGGACTGTTTGTCTTTACAGCCTCTTCTTCTGGTGGATCCGTTACCACCAGTAGCAGCATCCGGCCTGGAGTGAAAGTTCAATTACCTGCCTCAACCATCACCCTTCGTCCTACAGCCAATGTAACTTTGGCACCTAAACCTGGTACAGTTGTCTCAACTTCCACTGGTACTGCAACCAGACTAATTGCTCCAGGACAAATACAAACAACTCGAGGTAAGTACACTGTAAAATTCTTCTGCTGTTTAATTCTGCATTAACATTATTTCAGATATTGTTTTTGACTTGCAAATCTTGTCTATAGAGCAAAACTGTTTTGAAACACTGCCCCATAAATTGTCATCTCCTTCACAAATGTACTGCTATTTTTGAAAGTTGTCTCCCTTGTTCATATAATTTCGTTTTTGCTATAAAAATCTGCTCTGATTGCTTAAACTTTTTTTTTTTTTTTTATTTTGGGTAGATAAGTTGAAATATTGACTTTCAACAGAAATATATTCAATACATCAATTATTTCAAAATCATTGTGGGACCAGCATTTGATTTAACTGGGTTGGGAAAAAGTTCTATGACAAGACATATTCCATAAACCACATTGAATTATAAAGACACTACACCAGAGACATTTACTTGAAGAAGGGTGCAAAATATCATGGAAATATAACAAAAATAGAACAGTGTTTTTTATTTTTAAGACTTTTTTTTTACATGTGGATGAGGTTATTATGTTTGTATTTTCTACTAGTATGTTTGTGTGTTTAAATGGATTCTAATAGAGCTGTGGTTGGATAGGTGTAATGTAAGGTGCCTGGATAGGCATGTAGTAGTGTGACCGATGTAATTATGAAATCAGTTTGATCAAGAACACAGCTCCTTAAGGTGCATTTGAACTCAGATAATGTTCGTTCGTTGTAATTTTGATTTTGCTGGTGTGTTGTTATTTTTGAGGATAAGGTTAGCTGTTTTAATATTATTTTTTATTTTTTTTTGACCCAAACAAAAAAAAATCAAATTATCTACTGTGTGTATATATATATATATATATATATATATATATATATATATATATATATATATATATATAATATTCTGCTTTCCAAAGAATACCAGAATGTAGGCAATTAAATCTTGCCTACCAGACAGGCATAAACTTTGGACAGTTTATCCACAGTTTCAATCCCAAGGCACAACACTTTATTTGAAAAGTTGAAAAATGCAATAAAAATTTAAACAGACATTGGCTCTATTTAATAATATTTGTTTGGAAATATATATGATAAAGCAAAACTCAAATTGTTAAAACCCTGTTTATGTGTGCATGCATTAACATCATGTTATATATGATTTGTTTTAAAATATTCTTCAGTATTTGAAATTTTATTCATTTTCAGTTCAGTATTTCTGTTTTGGTGAATGAATCTCTCACTTGTCTTTTAAGCTCATCACCTGGAAAATATATAAAAAAAAAAAAAAAAGATTTGCTCAAGTTTAAATGTTATGAATTTGTTTTATTTTTTTCAGTTTGGTTTTAACTTTTTTTTTTTTTTTTTTTTTTTTTCCCCAGCAACTGTCCAGATTAGGCCACAAGTCATTGCTCAAGGCATGCCTGGCCAAGTTCAAAATGTACAAATTATTCAAGGTCCACAAGGCCAGCTTCAAGTGCGTGGACTTCTGCCAGGTAATTCTGTCTTTTTTGTTCTCATCTAACAGAATTTGGCTTCCTGCTCTACAGAATAGTTTTGGGCATAGACATTTTAACTCTAACAGAACTTTTAATAGTTTCTGTATTATCAATTAATGTTGTAAGGCAGTTACTTTATGCAACCTATCCCATTGTTTACTTATGTCAGACTAATTCATAATTCATAGAACAAAATGGGAATCATTACAATGAATTTCCTTTCTTTCAGATTATCCATCAAAACTTTGATGCTTCTTTCCATGTTAATAGTAACAAATTCAGTCCTAGAACCACAGCTTTTTACACTGTATATAACTACAAGTCTCTGTTAAAAGTAGTTTACATTAGATTTTTCTTATATAAAAAATAGACAGGAGCTTTTAAATTATTTAGACATGCATTTTCTATAGTCTTGACATCTCTATAAAAAAAAAAGAAAGAAAATAATAACAATAATAATTTGACCTTCAATTGGCTTCACTAAGGGATGCAGGGAAAATCAAAGAATAACTGAACTTAACCTTTTTTAAGAAATGTTTTTGTGGCAACTGAATAAAATAGGAAATGGTCAATTTTCCAAATTATATTGAGTGTTTTTCATGTTGATTGAAATAGTGTTTGTCAGGGTAGGTTTTGGCTGTAGGCATAGATTATATTTATATCCAATTGTTTGCAATATCATTTAAACTGCATTTAACTATTGGATTATCATGTTCTACTGATCATTGGATTTAATTATACAGCAAGAATTCAATAAAACATGAACTGATAGAAATGCGAGCAAAATATTTTGTTCAAATTTTGCTCAGACTGATTAAATTACTGAAGGTTTTTTGTTTAGTGTAGATCTGCATATCTTAGAATGGATTTTCAGTTTAGTGGATAAACAAATACAGTTATTTCTCATTAATCTTTCCCTTTTTCTTTTTACATCCTATTGCTTGAAGTTGGCATGCTTATACAAGTGAGGTGCTGAAAACTTCTTAGCCTGACTCACTTACCAAAATTTAACCAAATGACCTTTCTTGGTTGCTTCAAGAACTTTCAGTATCTTTTCGTAGTTTAAATTATTGTAATCTTTTTAGTTGTGTATAACTTTTGTGTTAGAAAAAAACTACAATTGCTGATTACATTCTGATGGATATTAATATACTGAATTAATTTTTGTACACATTAGGACTGTTTTACAAAACAAGTTCTCATTTGAATGCAGATATTCAGATTTTAATATTTTATATGATATTCAATAGAAGTTTTTCCTGTTTATTATTTAAACTTTTAGAAGCATGGATTAAATGTAAATTGATATTTGTAAAATTATGGCTTTTTATAAATATTGTTGTGTTTTATCTGTCCAATGATTGACTGACTTCCTTAAACTGCCCAATGGGGCATAAGGTCACACTCTCACAGTGCTAGGTGTTGATGCTGTGGATTTTGAGGCAAGTAGGTTTTTTAGGGTGGGGGGGAGGTTAGATTTGCTAGCCTCACACCCAACCTTTTGTGAATTCAGTTTTCCTTCTCTTCAATAGATTGTCAGTCAGTGCTAGAGAGTGTAGTTTGTTCTACTCTTTAACTCCTCCTCTCTGAAAGAAGAGATTCATATCTATCCCAAAGGTATCCGTGCAAAAGTGATTCTGCATGCCAATTGCACTTTTCATGTCAATAACTGCTATGCTATTGCACACATTCATTTATCCAATAAACCAGGTATATTATTTCTGAATGATAAGAAACTTTGAAAACTTTATGTAGTTACAAACTTGTTTATAATATAATCATTGAGAAACTTAATATTTGATAGGTGTATAATTATCTTTTGATTTCAGGTCAGCAGATAGTGAGGTTACCTGATGGCCGTCTCCAGTTGATTACCCTTCCCACTACCGCACCTACAGTGGCTACAGTCACTACAACTACAACACCTGGCCAAGTACGTCCCCAAGTGACCATCAGACCCCAGCAACAAACAGTTTTACTCAGTTCTCCAACTGCAGCAGCCACTACCAGACTAGTGGTACCAGCAGCAACTACCACCACCACCACTACCACCACTGCAGCTGCTACTGCAGCTGCTACTGCAGCTGCTACTGCAGCAACCACTACACCCCAAGCAACTGCTCCCACTACCGCTAACACCGCCCCAACAGTAACTACTGCTTCTGCTCCAACCAATGCAGCCTCAACTACCACAACGACAGCACCAACCAGTGCTATTGTATCACTAGCAAATACGGCCACTAATGTGGAAACGACAGCCACAACAACAACAACATCAACGACAGTTGTATCACGTCCAGCTAGTAGTGCAGCAACTGCCGGTACTACAATTCTGACTGCTTCTCCATTGACCAGCCGTGTAATTGCTAAACCAATTGTATCAGTAGTGACCAGCCGTACTGGCACATCGACAGTCCCCATTGCCATCATGAACACGAGTGGTGCCGTTACAGGCACTAGTGTGTTAGCCGCAGCCCGTCCCATCGCAGCTCTGACAGCTGGCTCTAATACTGCAGCGGCGGCTTCTTCTGGCACAACCACAACTACAACCTCTACATCTGCCACAACAAACACAACCACCAAATATGCACTTACCCCTCAAGTTGTTCAACAAGGTAAGGGTAACAAAATAATCTTTGATACAAAACAAAAAACAAAAATTTGCTTTTTGATATTCTAACTAGTTTTCAGAGTGAATATCAAAAATCTATAAAAATTAGAAAGAGATAGAAAAATTATTAGGAACTCCTCTGCTACATTTAATATTCACGAGTTTCTTGTGACAATGGCTGTCGGCCCGTGGTCAACTCCCAGTTGCCATGCGAAACTGTAATAATTCTCCTACCGGCGTTTTGGGGTTGATTCTTAGTTGCTGCCACCAGTCTGTGTCCTGGTCAATCGGTGGTCATTGTCGCTATTTGGCAGAATCCTTTGGTCAAGGTACCAAGTGGGATGGTCCATCGATGCTAACGGCTTCACACCAGCTGCAGCCGGTTCGACACTAGCTCCGTTGTTACCAGCTCACTTCCAGTTGTCTGGTTACCAAAGTAATTGCTTCAATCTCAAGTCAAGAGGTTCAAGTATGTTAAAAGTAACAAATTAACATTTATCCGTCTGTTATATACAGCAGTGTGTTTTTCTCCCAATCCGTTTTCTATGGACTGTGACGTTTTTACGCTTCCTAGGCAAGTTTTGGTCCTCTAAGTCAACTGGTTTAGTTTTTAAGTGCTGGCTTAGCTCCTTTCGTCAGTATAACTTGCTATTGGTAGGATAGGTGAAGTCTGAGGTCGTGGAATTTCTTGGTCAACTTCTGTGAGGCAACACTCTGGTTCCTGCAACTCCAAAGGCTCTCTGGCAAACTACTCAACTGACTGTCGAATGGCCTGAGGGCATTCGTTTATATGGATACTGACCAAAAACGGGTTTGGGGTTAGGCACAGTCTGGGATTTTCGGTAAATCCCGATTTCTGACAAGAAACCTTTTTGTTGGTTGTCAGGCCAGGAAAATTGATTACTTTCCATTTTGGGGGGATCCCTTCGTCCATGAGGAGAGGTTGGAAGAGAGCTATCCTCCTAAACTCCCCCCTTCACACATTGATACCTCGTACCAATCCTTTCAGTGGGCATTAATAACTTCCCCGTCCTTCTCATCAAATTACCTCCACCTGTTACCATTGCTACCACTCGACAAATGGCATCCCAGCCGTTCGAGCGTGGCTAAGCTGGCCTCATTAAAATTATAATCCAAAATTTTTGTTTACAAAATTCTTTTTCCCATCAGCCAAAATTTTTACAAATCACACATTGCCACGTAAAATCTCTCAGATCTTTTGGTCACTTTGCGTCTTAACCAGCACTTTTTAAAAACTCCATCAATTGTCAGTCTGCCATCTGGTCCCTTCATGAAGTTAGCATTTACTGGAACTCTTGGCTTCTGGAGAAAATAAATTTCTTTATCTCCCAAATCGGCAATTCTTCCGAGATATTTTCTCATGCCAAAATTTGAAATATGAGTTAAGTAATATTTATTCTGATCTATGTCTACTTTAGAAATGTTGAAGCAATTAAAAGTTATGACATACTGTTATATCATCAGAAATGAGTTCACACACACACTACCACAATCTTCATTTTTTTTTTTTTATTAAATCAAGCTAACTTTGTAAACCTTGGTTCCTAAATACTGTAAACTTCAGGGAGACAGTAAGAAAAGGGGGGGTGTATTAAAACATTACCAATTTTGTCCTTTGATGTCTGTCAGACGAGTGAGTTAGGAAAGCCAAACAGTAACAAATTAAAATGGCAGTTGATAAAGCTGATTGTTAGAAAAAAAAAAAAATTTCCATTTCAAAATTACAATTTCCTTTTCAAGTAGGCCATTTTGTTTTTCCGTCTTCACAGAAAATAAGCATCTCTACAAGATATCCCTGGACATGGCTAGCAGAATGAGAAACATCTATCTCCATAGATTGAATAATGTCCTCAGTTTGAAATTTTCGGCAAGGTTACCCAGATTGACAGAAGGCTGGAGTGCACAATGGCTAAAACATGATCGTAACAAAAAGATGACATTAGTCCAACTATAAATAATAAAATCCCAGAGATTCAATTAGGAAAGATTTTATTATGTAGTGTAACCTTTTTTTCATAAGATATATTTGATTGACCAATGTTAAGAGAAAAAAAACCCTTAAGAAGTATTAAATATTACATTATTAGAGCAATATAAGCGGATATATTAAAAGGCCATGCATAACAAAAGAAAATAAAAAAATGCAGTTCATCACAAATTAGAGACATAACTAAAATATAAATTACTGTAAGTTGGTAATATTGAAATATAATGATTAAAAACAGCTAATATTCCTCTTTTTTGTTATTGTTTGTTTTTTGTTATGAATGTCCTTTTAATATATGTCTATATTTCTGAGATGAAGTATTGTAATTATTTATACACTATTTACATTCTTCGGACTGTTGTCCTCATCTTTTTTGCCATATTCACAACATTTCGGCTGTTGTATGCTCTGGCCTTCTTCAGGTGATTGGAATTTTGAACTGAACCCTTTAATTTTATCCACTGGGGTAGATTGTTCTAGTTCCACAATGGCCAAAATGTGAATATGGTAAAAAAGATGAGAACAACAGTCCAAAGAATGTAAATAGTCCTTTTAATATGTCTGCTTCACTTACTCTACTTTGTCTCTGTATCAATGCATTTCTTTTAAGTTTCTCAAGAAAATTGTTCTGGTTGTTGAATATAAATGAATACTCATAATATTTGCTTCATTATTTCATGTGATTAAATAAAATGGCTGTTTTTATTTTCATGTACAATTTTTTGCTGGGTTGTATATTATGAAAAGGAAAAGTGATTTTATTAGAAATGTTGTATTTTTAGTTGTGCGTCAAGCGTTGCTACAAAATCAGAGCCCAGAGATTCAAGCGAAGCTGTTGGCTTACCAGAGACAGATGCAGGCCCAGAAGGTGCAGCAGCCGCTTACCACACTCCAAGCTCTGGCAGCCATTCAGGGCAAATCAAAAGATAAAATCATCACTGCCCTACCTCATCAGGTTGTATTGAAGCAAACTACTGGCACTGGTAGTAGTACAACACCAGTGGTCACTGCTACAACTCTGACCACTACAGAGCAACCCAAAGTAAAACCTAAAGCACTCACTCAGGAGCAAAAGGAGGAGCAAGTAAGGTAAGATTATGTTGGTACATTTAGGGACTGCTGTAGGGATTGCACAATGACATGAAGAAAAAGTAAATAAGACAGTAACTTAACTCTTCCTTATTCAGTGTTCAGTTTTTGTCTTGAATAATCTTATCTGATGTCAATTTGACCTAAATTCACTTAGTGGGTATTTGAAGCACACACATTAGGATTATGACCATTTTTGCGACCCTATGTGTCTGTGTCATAAATCGATGAACTTTTGTTCAAAGGTAATGAAAAAGGCATTACTTTGTTTTAGTTCTTGAAAGGTCACCCCAAACTGAAAATGCAATTTTACCAATATGCACAATAAGGGTAAAAAATCAAAATATTTCAGAAGCTTTATTCTTCAATTTCCTAATCATGTAATTAGATTGTACTTATGTATTTTAACACATTTAACAGTTATAGCTATAGCATAACATACAAACTTACAAATAAACAAAAACAAGTTCTCAAAGTAAGTCATAGTACTACTATATTTATATGATTTTAGAAATTTCATGTTAGGGGTGACATTTAAAAAAAAAAAAAAAATTATTAATCCCTTCTTCATTATTTTTTAACAAAAGTTCATCAAATTATGATACAATTATTTTACAAAAAATCATAACCCTAATATACATGCAAAAAGCATAAATATCTATACTACAATATGACTTTATATATTTGTCACACAACCTGATCTTCCCTTTTCAGAAATGAAATATTCCATTATGGCAGCAAGAAGTGCTTGCACATCATATTACAATAAGAAAAGTATATCCAATAATTATGTTGGTGGTTTCAGGCTGCTAATAAATTGTTTGGGTTGTGTTGCCTTTAGTTATTTAATGATTTATGAATGCTTTCTTACAAGAGACAATTGATTTAATTTTATAGATATAAAAAATCTGAGATCATTTGTGTAGGAAGGATAACCACTGCAATTGTAAAACTACTGCTATGAACTAGTTATTTTGTAATGTTAGAAGTTAGTACGTTAACATTTCTCAATTTATGAAATGATTGAGAGAAAAGTAGTTTGAATCCAATTTTGATTAGGACAACTATACACATATAGCTAGGTAATACACTACTAGTTTGCATTAATATCCCACAAATATTTATTTGTTTTGTTGTTTTTAATGAAATATTAAAATTGTCAATGAATTTGATTGTTGAAATTTGGCTGTAAGTTCTTCTTACTTTTTTCTAGTTCTTGTAATAAAAATGTTTTTTTTTTTTTGTTTTTTTTGTCAGGTTGTCCGTATGTAGCCAGGTGATGAAATCAATGCTGGATAAAATTGAAAAAGAGGAGAAAGTAGAACAGAAGCGCATCAAGAAGCAAGAATCTGCTGAGGAAAAGCAGAAACGTGTGATGGCAACTAAACTGCAGGCCATACTCTTTAAACAAAAAGAAGCATTGAAGAAAGAGATTTTAAGGAAGCGTTCTCTTATGGAGAAGAACTTACAACAAGACATCCAGGTAAAAATATATAAAAAAAAGTGACTAATAATCTAGTGGATGATGATCTAAGTTTGAATATTTTATTTGTGATATGAGTAAAAGAATTTCATAATTACATTACATATTCAAATTTGCCATGAATAACTTTGGAAGCTATACACTCAAATTATTATTTGAGAAAAATAAATGGCATCTTTTAGATCTAATTAAATATCTCCTATTTAGTTGAAGCTTTAACTTTTTTCTCTTTTTAATGCTAAGATCACATTTGTGTTGGTAACTGTACACTATACACCAAGCCCTACTTAGAGGATTCCAAAACATTTTGTTAATGTGCATAAAAATATTTGCATCAATTTTTTATTTATTTATGTTAATTTAAAAGAGCAATTGAATGTTTGCTGTATTTGGAATAGTTATTATTTCATAAAATGTTGCATTTCAGATGGAAATTAATGAACGAATTAAGCAGAAGAAAAAGAAACCCGCTTCTAAGACACATGCAACTACAACACCTCCAACAAATGCAGTACGCCGTAAGGAAGACACTTTGAATGCTTCTGTTGCTGCTCCACCTGCTCCAGCTTCAGTAACATCCTCTAAGAAAAAGAAACAAAAGATTATCTCCACAGGCAGCAGTAAATCATTCAACCCAGCTGAGAAACTGTACTGCATATGCAAGACACCCTATGATGACTCCAAGTAAGTTCATCTTCTGCAACACATACTTCAATTAATTAGGTTTTTATTGATACAATTCAATCTTTATAGAAGCAGATACTGGCGGCCATGTTGGGTTTTTTTTTCTTAATTTCTGGTAGCAGGTAAGTGAAAACTTGTTAAGGTAAGTCATTGGGGGGAAAAGCAGTTGATTTTTTAAAAATTGGTTGTTGCTGATCAGCCTTTGTAGAAATGATTCTAACTGAAGCTTGTCTTTTTGTTCAGTTTTATTTTTTTAATTACTGCAGTTAAGAGATGACTAAAATTAAACCAAACTGAAATTTAATTTTAGAAATATCTCTTGAAAAACTTATGGTTTGGCTTGCCACTTGTGTGTGTGTGTGTGTGAGAGAGAGAGAGAGAGAGAAATGAGAAAATAGCTGTTTACAAGAATTGAATGGTCATTGTTGAAAAAGAAACAAGTTTAGTGTTCAGTTAACCCAAAGAAAATGTTGTTCTTGTTTAGGTACCTAAAATCAAAAGGAATGATAATTTCCCTCTAAAAGAATTCATTAAAAATGAACCAGTTTATTAATTTAAATTTTCACAGTACATTGAATAACACTTAAGATTTGAAAAAATAATTAAAAATAACTACTTTTATTCTCTTTATACCTAAGAAAAATAAATTGTCTTATGTCACAATCTTTTGTCATAATTCTATTGTCCATAAAAGCATGAGTACATTTCAGTTTTCACTTCATCATACATTAAATAAATCCATTAAGTTCTTAAATAAGTACAATAAAAAATATTAAAAATTATGACTTTTTAAATGATTCATGAAATTAAGTTGTTAAAGACACTAGCAATTAAAATTACCATAAAAATGTATATAATTTTATCCTACCTTCACTTTATATGAAAATGTTTTGAATAAGTGTTTGGGATGTTTTTCTGCAATAATCAGTGAAAGTCATCTCCTTTCTGCCTCCACTTATGCACTGTCTGACACATTTTAACAATGACTTTATTCCATTTTATTTTTGGAAAGAAACAAATAGACAAAGACACCGCCATTTTTCATTTTCATGTTTTCTGTACATCAAAGCACATTCTCTTCTGCTAAGATTTCATTTTCTTTTCTCTGTTTAATCATTTCACCTTTTAATCATTTTTTTTTCTTTCTTTCTTTTCTACATTTTTCTTTCATCTGCTTTTATTTCTTGGATGGGTTTGGATCTGCTTTGATGAAATCATTCTATAAAATATTCTTGGTGTCTTTCCATTCACATTAGTTGCAAAATAAATGTTATTTTTTTTTTTTTTTTTTTTTTTTATTGGCTAAGAAAATTTGTAGGTTCCTTCTTGATAAAGAGTTTTAGCTTATTTGAGATTTACAAATTGGATGGTATCATTGACAAAGAAATTAAAAGAAAAAATATTTCGTCTTTGTCAAGAAAAAGCTAAAATAAATGTCTGCGTGAATGGTATAGAACTTTCCAAATTAGTCAGACTGAGGTTACTGGTGGCGGTGGTGAGGATGGCTAATAGCATCATTGTTTCTTCCTGTTCAGTTTTCTTGGCAGTAAATGTGTCTAAAAACAAACAAAATAAAAACTAAAAAAAAACGTGAGTAAACAACAACAACATGTATCATTTGTATTGTGTTTCTCTTCTCTTAACCCTGCTGATTCTGAATCTGGTAGCTGTACTTTGCTTTGGCTGACATGCCGGCTCATTCACATAATATACGCACAATCAGGTGCCTGCTCAAGTTTGACAGGCACCATACTTATAATATTTCTTCCTGTGAGAAACTGACAGGCTGCTCTCTTCCTGGAGTCTTTCTGGATTGGCTTTTTGAACTCCCCAGGAGAGGTTGGTCACATCTGCTCCACCTGGCTGCCAGTCAGTGAACAGGTGTAAATACAAGTTGTTCTGTTTTGCTACAGGTTCTACATTGGTTGTGATCTGTGTTCCAATTGGTTCCACGGGGCATGTGTGGCTGTCTCCGAGGAGCAGGCACAGTACATAGAATCCTACGTATGTGATGAATGCAAACTGCATCGGGAGAACACATCAGAAGAACTCTACTGCATATGCAGAACTCCTTATGACGAGTCACAGTAAGTAGGAAGCTCTATCATAAAGAACACATGACATGGTTGGTTTGTCCTTTCTTATTTCTCTAGTTGGTCTTTGTATCTTGTCTGTCTGCATGTGATCTGCACATACACTGTGTGCATACATTCTCTCTTAACATTGTCCAATGCTAACAGTTGTTTTGTTAGCAGAGTCTTGTGTCACTTCCTCTACAGATGTCCTATCTCTCTTTTCTCATTATCTATTCACATATCATGATTATTTCATGCATGTTTACACTGTCTCTCCTTTGATCTATTTTCCTATACATTACACCAAATGAATGAATGTAAAATATGTGACTGCTTGTTCATCTGTTCATATCCTATGTAATTATTTCTGTTCACTCTTTGCTCTTTTATTAACATTGTGTTGCTACTTGTTGTCTTAAATATTGTTTGTATTTTATATTGATGTATTTATAGTGAAGGTTGCATTTACTATAAACAAATACTTCAGATGAGTGCCATGTAATATTCATTGAGTTGTGCTATGATCACTTGTTTTATTGTTACCATAAGCATTTCTTCACTGTCCAACTTTGTTAGCATAAGATTTTTGTTAAATTCACATATGGTGAATCAAGATCCTATTTAGAACATAAAAAAAGAATTGTAAACATTGTGTGTGGTCAATTATCATTTTCGGGTTTTTTGTTTGTTTTTTTTTTTTTACCCCAAAAATGAAAGAAATCATTGTTCGTTTAGTATTTTCAGAATCTCTCAGCATTTGATTATTTTTTTTGTGAAAGACTTCCTTAATTTTTATGCAAAAATTATTTTATTTAATATAGAGTAATTTTTCCCTTTCCATTATTTGAGAGAGGAAGTGAAATGTATTGAATGAATTGTATCCAGTCATTGTGGTTATGAAGTTTTCTCATTCATCAAAGGCAATTGCATCCAAATTTAAGATTGTAATTAATATTTTTATACAAAATGATAGAAAATTGCAAAATTGGAATCTTTGCTTTCCAAGTTTTAATAAGAAATATTTTTGTAAATTCTTAATTATGAAAGAAGCCTATCTAATACAATTATTTAGAGAGATTAATTTCTTTTAAATTTGGAATAGTTTAATAAATTTAAAATCAAAACTTCAGAATTTGAAAATTAATGGCTTTTTAGTTTTGATAGAATAAACTAGTTAAATATATTGAAAACATTTCATGTTTATTTAGAACAATTAGAAGTTAAAGAACGTTCTATAGGAATCTGTTATTTTCTTTATAACAGTGGTTTATTAAAACATTGTTTGATTATTGATTGGACAGTCAGATTTCCAAATACTTAAAAGATGTCCTATAGTTTAGCACATTACTGAAAAACTATCTTATCTGCTTTAGCTTTCTTGTAAGCAGGTGATCATTTGGCTTTTATATTTTTTATTTTGAATTTTATAACTCTTTTACTTTATAATGTGTTCTCTAATAAGCTGTTAATTTTTTATAAAAACATTTCTGACATTTATTGTGACCTTCAAACTTTCAACTGACCTTTTCTATTGTTTTCTTTTCAGATTTTATATTGGTTGCGATCGGTGTCAAGACTGGTTTCATGGTCGTTGCGTGGGTGTCACAAAAAGTGAAGCAGACAGCATGGACACGTACCTTTGCCCTACTTGTAAGAAGAACGAACATGGTGACAAATATTCTCAAAGAGTAATGTCCGACAAAGATTATGATAGCTTACGACGTCTGCTTCGAAGTCTTCAGGTTAGTAGCTCCTCAGATTTTGTTTTCCTTTCAGTTAAATTTTAAATGAAATTTCTTGACCTGTTTGTAATTTTTAATTCTAAAAAACTAAAAAAATTATTGTTTAGGCACACAAAATGGCCTGGCCATTCCTTGAACCAGTCAACAAATTGGAAGCTCCAGATTATTATGATGTTATCAAAGAACCCATGGGTAAGTCTGTCCTTTTCTATTTGGCTACTTTACTATAGAGATTCCACTAACTTTATTTTCTTTGAATGTTTTGCTAATGCAGATGAATGTTGTCACAAATGTTAATCTGATATGTAAGAAAACTTATTACAAAATAAGTTTTCTTCTTACACATGCACAATGACTTGAATAAGAGTGAATCTAAATTGTTTGAGTAAGTCATAGCTAAACACTTTGAATAATAAATACTAGGCTTGTTTTATAGTTTACTTCAAATGTCAACCATTGACTAGTTTATAAATAGAATGCTTGCTTGTTTTGGCTAGATGTTCAGAATATTCTTAAACTCTGTTGAAAGAACTTTTTATTTTATTTTCTATGCTGCCTTTAGAAATTAATCTTATCTTATTTTTCATTTAATCTTGCATATGGCTAAAATACAATTTCCTTATAATTTTTGTAAAACTGAATAACATTGAGTGACTTTAAAAAAAATAAACTCTCATTGATATATTTTATTAAAGATATTAAGAAACACACATACACAACTTTCTGATAGTCAAAATGAAAAAAAACTCAAAAGATTTCCCACTCACTTTCAAGTTCCTTTTTCTTTCTTTTTTTTTTCAAGTGTCACATAATCACACTGTCATAATCAAAGATTTAAACAAAAATAGTCTTATTTTTATGAAAGAAAATGCTTGTTTCAATTATTAATATATTTTGTTTCCTGCAAATTAAAAAAATTCTCATTTAAAATTTGTTAGTAAAGCATAAATGTTCTTATTAAAGGCCAATATGCTGTTGAAATGCCAGTTTATTATGAAAATCAGAAATGTTCTTTCACAATGACAATTTAACAAAAATAATGTAAAATAATCCTTTAATGTAATTTTGTTTTTTAGCTATTGTCTAATTTTTAAACTAAATCTTACTTTTTCCATTTTTTTTTTTTATTTCCAGATTTATCGACTGTAGAAGAACGTCTTAGTAAAAAACATTATACACGCCTCACAGACTTCATAAAAGACATGACAAAGATTTTTGATAATTGTCGTTATTACAACCCCAGTGACTCACCATTTTACCAATGTGCTGAGGTTTTGGAGACTTTCTTTGTACAGAAGCTGAAAACCCTGAAGGAGAAATTCTAACCCTAACCCTTTACAACTACACTATTACCATACCACCACCACCACCACCACCACCATCATTTCCTCCCCTTTCTCTTTAGCTTGTTGCTCTCCCATTCAGTGTAAATATCATTGATAGAATGTTGAGAAACAATAACTACCAACTAGCTTGGCTGCTGAGATGGTCACTACTTTCCAAGGGGTCAAAGCATAATGGAGCAGTGGCCATTAACAGAGCATTTCAGTTGGAGGTGTCATCTTTATTCATTCAGCTCCAGTTGTTGTTGCCTGGCAACAACCCCTCCTCTTCTTCCTCACAACAACAACAACTGCCACTCCATTTGTTATCATTAATTCTCACCACATTTTTCATGGAGGGTGTTTACAGAAAACAGACAAGGAAAACAATTTTAAAGAAAGCAGAAAAAAATATAATTTATTTCATACAACTCTATAGGAAATTAAAAAAAAAAATGGGGGATGGGATGGGCAGGAAAAAGACATTTGAAATAAATGTTTAAAAAAAATGAACTCCTGAAAATTAAACTACAAGGGATTGGGAGGGGGGACTTCTCAAGAAAAAAACCCAGTTTATTGTCATTGTTGTTGTCCACTGCTGACATTACCCTGTGGCCCAACTGATTTGCAAAAATAAAAGGCAAACTTTTGAGCAGAAAGAGTGGGGGGGAAGGCATTTTTTTCTTTATTTGTATCACAAAAATAATGGAACTGTTTCATCATTTTTGGTTTAAAAAATGCCTGCTCCCTCAGACCCACAGACACTGCTCTTCCAGTTCATATAACATCTCACCAATACAAAATCCTCCATTAATTCCACTACTTTGTTCGCCTCCAGCAGCAGCAGCAGCAGCAGCAGCTGGCTAGCGGGGAGTTCATGTGCATTACACGTGCAGACTTTATCTAACCAAGCACGTGGGGAGGACTTCCAAGTCGGGCCATGTATCATGTGTAAAGACTGTAGAAGTAAGAATTGATTGTTCATATAGCAGTCATGCTCTCAATAAATATTGTAATGAAATCAAGTGTCGTTTTCTTACCAGTTTTGTATACATTGGCCTATTTATGACAATTTATCCACCCACATCCCATAATTTTTCCACTGCCACTAAATCAGCTCAATAAAGCATAGCTCAAAATTTCTTGTACCCTCGTCCTTTCCTCACAGCTCAATTCCTTATTCAATAGCCAATTACTTCATCATTGTTACATTTGTTTTTTTCTTTCTGGAAACTTCAGAAAATAAATCACTCATGGTCAATAGAAATAAAATTTTCATCATATTGTTTAAAATGTATGCACATCATTACCAGTACCAATTCTGTAAATATTCATTTACAACTAGATAAAGTATTTTCAGTGACTTTAGGTCTCTCAGGGTTAACTGTTCACTTAAATCAAAATTTATTGCCTTTTACATGTAGAGAGAAAAGTAGGTTAAAGTTACAAGGTTTTCGTATATTTTTTCTCCAGTGTTTTCATTGTAAAAAAAAATTATTTGTCGAAAAAATATTGAATTTACTAAAATTAATTAATTTCGTTTAGTCATATATAATTAAAATATTACTGAATATAGTACATGTTTCTAGCCAAGAAGAATTTTTAAATTAAATTCATGAGTTATCAAACAATTTTAATATTTTCTTATCTTTTCCTATAAAAAGACTTATTCATAATTAGCCTTTATTATGTGCATCATCAGGACAAAATCTAATCCTGGTTAACTTAACCACCAGCAGTATAAAATTTGTAAATAAAAATAAAACCCACTCCTTTTTTTTTACTTTTAAGACAAAAATGAAATGAGCTTTCTAAACTGCTGCTGGGAAATTCACTCTTATAAATTAGCAAAGCAGCTGGCTGCTAACTGAAAGTTTTGAGATTACATTTTACATAAATTCATTGAGGTTAAAAAAAAAAAAAAAACTATTGAAAACGCCTGTTAAAAGCTCTTCTACTTTTCAGTTACCTGGGTACTTTCAAATCTGCAATACCCACTGAGTTCAAATATTAACATTCCATGAAATTTGGTTTGCTACTTTGGCTGGGCAAAGTTACCTGTTTTTATTTTTCCCTATTTTTTTTTTTTTTTTTTTATACAAGAGGTTTAGTGCATTCTATCTTGTAAAATAACCGCATATTTCTTTTAAATGCTGTTAAAATTATCAACATTGTTTCCATCCACATCGTAATCAATTGCTTAAAAAAAAACAATTAGGATTAAGTTTATTGCTCATTCAGTTTGAAAGATTGAAATTGGCTTTAGTGTTTTTCATTGATTTTATTTTTTAATTTAATTACCATTTTTTATAATGAGTTTCACCATGCACTTTGAAAATTAAAGTACTCATACACAATAGCAAATTATTTCATTATAACTTGATTGCTTTAATGATGTGCAAAATTTTGTAAATACATCAATAAAGTAGGGTTTTCCTTTTTATTTGGGTTTGAATCCCATCACTGGCTTGTGTTGTGTTTCTTTACAAAATTCTCATCTAAACCTGTGTATTATTGAAGCAATCAGAATGTGAAAGGAATGATGTTGCAGAGAAAAATCAGATCCCAACTCTATTAAAAAAAAAAAATACTTTATTTTTGTTTCATCTAAGCTGTTTTTGGCTCTCCTTTTTGGAAAGGAACCTGATTCCTGTGTTCCGTCTTTCAGTGCAAAACAAGTTGTTAAAAATTTTTTTAACCCGACAAATTCTCCACACAAAAAAAAATTGTTCAGAAGAAATGTTTATAAAAAGTAAAATTTTCTGTATAATCACATTGAGTCTCCAACATAGAAATTATTTAAGTAATAAGAAAAACAAAATATAGCTAACTTAAATTTGTCCAATTTTCTCTATTTTACCATTTGTGGCTGTGAGTAACATTGTTATCCAAAGTGTTTGACCTCATCAAGTTTTATTTTTTGCTTGTTGGTACAGTGTATTAAGTTTCTTTAAAAATGATCTGTATTGATTGCTAAGGTCTTTATATCTTATGTTTATATATCATGTATAGAAATTAACATCCTGTTAGCAATAATAATTGAAAAGTTCTGTTCACTTTGTAGACAAAATTTTGAATTCTAGCCTGACATTTACATGAAAGAGGTTTCCTATAAACATTAACAAATGTAGTTGCTGTATCTATGATTTGGAAATATTTACATTGTAATTTGTTTTTCTCACTATTTTTTATACTACTAAAATACATAGTTGATCTTGTCATCTTGTGATGGAATTTAGATAATTCAAAAAATAAAAGCAATTATTTTATGAAATGTTTCAATTGAGTATGTTAAAAAATTCTCATGCTTACACTTTTTTCTTTTCATTTATATTCTATCATAAAAGGAAATTCAGTTTTATGAAATATGTAATTAATATTATTTAAGTAGTAATAGTATGAGTAAAGATTATTTTCTACATTCCTCTCTCTCCTGTTGCTTAAAAATATAACATAAATGCTGTGCCAACATTTTTATTCTTCAAAAATGGTAAAAAAATTTTTTAAAGGTTGTTAGTGCTAATAAGTGAAAAATGAACTCCATAAGGTATAATTTGAATAAATGTCATTGTATTGTGAATTGAAATCTATCTTAAAACCTTACTTATAACCCAGTCAATCAAGAATTTCAAGGTTTTCTCAAATTTGGGGAATTTTTCTTTTAAATTCAAATGTTCAACAAGCTCCCAAAAAACTGTAAATTGGGGATTATTTTTGTTTATATATGGATAGGCATTTCTCCCTAGGATCAGTGTAGCTATCTGTGTATTCTGAAATTATGTATGTAATCTCACACATAATGGGTGCATGGCTGAATAGTTAGAATGTTCACTTTCTGACCATGAGACCAGAGTTCAACATAGTCATTTTGTCAAGAAGATGACTTCTTGATTTTATCTGCCTGGAGAATTGAAAATAGGTAGACAGAACTGTTTGTCAGCAGTGACTCATTCATTTTCTACAGCTTATCAACCCATTACAGATTATTTAAAGCCAAAACATTTTTTTTCTGAGATAAAAACGATTTACTGTTACAAGTCATACTAATTAAACCATAGCTGGAGTGGATTCATAACTTTCCAAAAAGTATTTTCACATAAGTGAATATAACATACCCAACTGGAATTGGAACTGATTTCTGATTAACAATTTTGAGCCATTATCCATTATCTGCACATCCAAGCTTACAGCATTCCCAAATGTGCACCTATCTAGGTACTGACCAGGCTCGATATTGCTTAACTTCAGTAATTGTCTAGGAACTGGGTTTTAACATGATGTGGTTGTAAGCCTTGTTTGTCAATGGTTGTGCTAACACAAAATCAAGTCATTGTAACTGACAGTTTGAATGTAATGGACTACTTCAAAACTTGATTGTGCCAGAGGAGGCTCTCTCTCTCTCTCTCTCTGTATAAACCACTGGGTGTTGAACAAACACAAATGTGCTTGAGCAGGCACCTGCAACAAGGATTGGCTAACCACCCTAACAGTTGTGCATACTTAGAAACAAGTGGCCAGCCATTATTATAAAGAGAAGGGCTAATAAAAATTATCTTGTGCTTACCACTTGAGAATCAATTCTCCCTGTCTAGCATGATCAGTGTTTATCTAATATGAAGAATGGCAAATACTGGATTTGATTCCAGTCAAAACATTTCATAAATAATTTGTCTTTCTTTATATGTAGGATAATGGAACTTGTTTTTACATTAAAAAACTGTTACTACTATTTTATGCAATTGTTGATAACTTTTACAAAAAAATCATGCTAATTTGAATATCACAAACTTGTAAATAAAGACAAAACAAATTTCTATAAGTAAAAAAAATCTTTTGCTCTTAAAATTTCAATTTAGCAGTTGGAACAGCTGGCTGTCCAGTTGAGGGTTTTGTCATTTTATATGTCATTTTAACCATGAACTTAGTGAACTGGTAAAATCCACATGCAACCTGTGAACAGTCTTAGAGAATTTGTTTTATTGTTTTTGAAGCTTTACATTTGATGTTTTGTACATTTGATGAAGTAGCAAAGCTGTACTACCAAATGTGGACAATATAGTGATGACTGACACTGGGATAAGATGGTTAAAATCACCAACTGGAACATTTGTTGTCACTGTAGCTGCCTGAAAAAAAAAAAAATTAATTAGCCAAGATGTTCATGTCTATCTTTCTTTATGAAATTATTAGTAGCAGTAAATATTATCAAAGCAATTTTATTTTTTGTCTTCTCTTGAAAGATAAATAAAAATGATATAAGTAAAAATGAATAATAGGTAAGTATTATGAGTTGGCTCTAAAGAAAATACAAAGGATTGCTAAAATGTTCTTGACTTAACCCACTTCCCAAAAATTTGGGTCAAGCCCAGACCTTTTCAGCACATCCTCATACACTTGACATGAAGTCACTAAAAAAAAAAAAGAAGCCAAGTTTGTCTTTTTGTGTGAGCCAAGAACATTGTTTTACTAATGAAAGGAAATTATAAGTTTATTTTAAATATAAACTTTTAGGTAAGGTTGAACATAGGCAGAACTCTTATCCCATTGGCCCATTTCTCTTATGTTTCCATCCAATATGTTACAACTGGTTCATTGATTTGTTTTTTTTATGGCTTATCAACCCTTTGCAGGTTATTTAAAGCCAGAAAGTATTTTTACATTGTAAGAATTTTTTTTTTTTTTTTTTGATAATGATTTAGTGATACAAGTCTTACTAATTAACCAATAGGCTTATTCCGTGTAAAATCATCAAATTTTGCGGGGGCAAATACCATGTCCGACACAGATTTTTTTCAAATTTGCTACACTTATAGATCTCCATGAAAGGAATTGAATGGTACCTGTTACACATCTCAAGGTCAAGGGGTTCCTGAGATATGACCTGACCTTTTTATGAAAATGTGAATAGTGACCAACTTTAAAAGATGATATCTCAGTTGTTTATGGACCTACAAAGTTCATTCATATATCATTCTAAAGTACTTGGATAGATCTACAATTTTATCTTTTTTTTTTTTTTTTTTTAGAGGTCAAATAAAAAGTTGACCTTTTGATCTGACTTATCTCAAAAAACGTTATTTTAATTTTTTTTAAAATTTTGACAAAAGATTTGTCTATCTTATGACAGTATATATTCCAAATTTCATGATGGGCATTCCACTAGAACTGTTGCAACAAGCGTTTTATAGAACTGGGCAAAATTCAAAATGGCGGAATGTAGTATCTGCTACTTCATATAAAAACATTTTGATATTTCACAATATGGTCAAGTTGTATATCTTTGTAAAGCTATTTTAATGCTGATTAATATTCACATATTCACCATGATCATGAAATCGATAAAAAAGTTTTTTCTGGTGATGAAACTGAATTTTTTTCATTTTTTTCTAATGCAACACAGATTTTGTTACGGAATAAGTGATATAATAAAGAAAGAATTCTGAAAAGTGTTAAGGTTTAATTAAATTATAGCATAAAAAATATGTGATCTCAATGGTGAACAAATTTTGATTGATGTTTGAAAAGCAATTTCCGTTGTTTATGGTTCCTTTTTTTAATGAAAATCTTTAAAAATGAATGTTCTAAAAAATTCTTGACATGTTGAGTTTTTTGCAAGTTCTGGATGTGAAATCAAAATAATTTTTTCTGGAGATCAAACTGTTTTTAGCATTCCTTTTATACTTTTTCTTATACAACACAGATTTTGATACAGAAAAAGTGATGTAATAAAGAAAGAATTCTAAAAAGTGTGTCAAGATTTAATTATGTTATAGTATCAAAAAAATAAATGACATTTGATGTTGATGGTAAACAGTTTCTTTGACTTTTGACATGATACACTATATCCACAAGAAATCAATCTGTGTTCATTGGGATACATTACAAAATGGAAAATGAAAAATCTATTTCACTGAAACTTTTTTATAATTTTTTATGTATTTTAGATTTTTCTTTCAAAATCTTTCTTTCTAAAATATTTGATGAATTTTTCATCTAATTTTTTGAAAGTTTATAAGTTCTTCCTGTTTCAGTTATTGGATCAACTGAGCTAAGAATATCAGAATATTTCAAAATTGATATATTTGGATGTGATGGATAATAGAAAGATGGAGAGGGTCCATTTGGTTGTAAAATGTCAATTTCTTACCTCTCCATTATCTGGATATTTTCTTTAATGACACACATCAACCTGAGAGACAGGAATGAAAATTCCTATCATGAAGTGATGTCACTAAAATCTGTTAATGTCTTGAACTCCATACTGTTTAGTTTTTGTGATTCAAACTATCCTTCCTTTATTTTGTGTTGACATGTCTGTTTTTTTTTTTTTTTTTTTTACTTCCACATTGTTTTTCTCTCTGAGAGACAGGAATGAAAGTATGTAATTTCTGTGTTCCTATAATAATGGAGGAATTTGCTAAATCTATCTTCTAAGATGTTTGTTTCATTCGTCCATTCTGCAGTTGAGGAATATAAGAAATGTATTCTGGAAATATTTTTTTTCTCATAAAAAATACAGCTGTCTTGGCGTCCATGATTTGTTCATTATAGGGTCGCTGCAGGCTAGCTTTTGCTGCTAACCTTTTAACAGTGCCACCTAACCCATTACAAGGTCCTTTCCCATGAGAAATAGCAAAAAAGTACCACTCTGCATCAATAACAAAATCAGATTTATGGTTGCACAAATTTATAAAATTTTTAAAATTTTTATAGTGTGAAACAGCACCATCAGAGAAATATATCATTTTTGGACATCAAAATCAAGAATTTTTTTTAAATTTTCTATAAGCTTTCTTTGAAACAAATGGACAACTACTGTGTCATGCTTGAGACAATCAGATATTACAAAATTAATATGCTCAAGATCAATTCTATTTCTATAGTAGCAGATGAATGGATGCAATGTAGCTTGATCATTATTCCAGTGGAAGCCTTGAGCTGTATCTTGCAAAATAAATGAATAATTCTCAGCAAAATCTGCTATTGCTAAGACTTCACCAACCTTCAAAGAACCTTTTCTATCAGAACAAAATTTTGATTGTGCTTTGGCAATGAAACTATGCTTCTTCAATGTTTGAAGGCCTGCATGGAAAGTTTCAATGAATTCCTCTGTGGATTGTGATGGAGTTTGTAGAGTGGTTCTATCAGTTGATAACCACTGTTTGTATATAAAATCATCAACTGAATTTTTGTAAAAAATTTCTTCCATATACAAAACAAAATCATCCATCAGTTTTCTGCAAGTTGAGCAGTCACCCAAGTAGCAACTTGCTGATGCTTCATTGCATGTAACAGCAAGTATGCATTGGTGGTAATCTGTCAAATGATAATTTTCTCCTTCAGTCAGTTTACCAAGATGAGATCCTGAAATCATCAACTTCATATTCTGATGGATTGTGCAAATGCAGATAGTATGAGTCCCAGCACCACCTGCTAGCACACATTCTTTTGGTCTAAGCTCAGTAAATTTAGGAAAGCTTATTTTCTCCTGGTTCTTTGATTTGAATAATTCAAATGCCTCTTTCAAGTTACAGAGAACAAGATATTTTTGTTCCTGAACCCGTTTCCCATCCTTTAAAACAGTCTTGTAATCATTTTTTCCAGGCATCACTCTACTGACTTCTTCACTTTTATAAAACTGCCTCACTTTATCAATCGTCTCTTGTGGGAATCTAGTTTTTCGTGTATTTGGCAAAGCTAAAATTCCTTCCTCATTCACAAGTTTTTTTGCTTGTCTCGCCATGTACATTGTAGTGCCAAATTCTGTTTGTATTTTGCTTAGACTCCAGCTTTTTGGAAGTACAGTCAGAATTTGAATTTTTTGTGATCTCTTTTCACTCGCAGCAAACTTCTCTTTCAATTGGGTGATGATTTCTCTTTCAAAGTTTTGGGGTTCTGCACTAGTTGATTCCTCATGAGAAATGTTTGATGAAATTATACTGATTCTATCAGATATTGCTCCTGTAAATTTTTTCTATATATTTCTATATATCACTTTTTCCATAACAAAATCTGTGTTGCATTAGAAAAAAATGAAGAAAATTCTGTTTTGTAACCAGAAAAAACTTTTTTATTGATTTCATGACCATGGTCCTTATGTGAATATTAATCATCATTAAAATAGCTTTACAAAGATATACAACTTGACCATATTGTGAAATATCAAAATGTTTTTATATGAAGTAGCAGATACTACATTCCGCCATTTTGAATTTTGCCCAGTTCTATAAAACGCTTGTTGCAACAGTTCTAGTGGAATGCCCATCATGAAATTTGGAATATATACTGTCATAAGATAGACAAATCTTTTGTCAAAATTTTAAAAAAAATTAAAATAACGTTTTTTGAGATAAGTCAGATCAAAGGTCAAGGTCAACTTTTTTATTTGACCTCTAAAAAAAAATAATCCCCAGATAAAATTGTAGATCTATCCAAGTACTTTAGAATGATATATGAATGAACTTTGTAGGTCCATAAACAACTGAGATATCATCTTTTAAAGTTGGTCACTATTCACATTTTCGTAAAAAGGTCAGAGGTCATATCTCAGGAACCCCTTGACCTTGAGATGTGTAACAGGTGCCATTCAATTACTTTCATGTAGATCTATAAGTGTAGCAAATTTGAAAAAAATCCGTGTCGGACATGGTCTAACCCCTTGTTGATTTGTCACAGAATGAGCCAAAGTTTTATATCTTTCCCAAGGGTATTTGTGTGTAAGTAAATATAATGAACCCAACTGGAATTGGAACTTGGCTCTTCGATTAACAATTCTGATCCATTACACCATCTACACATCCAAGCTTACAGCACCTGGTATTCCTAAGTCATCCATCTAGGTACTGACCAGGCTTGATGTTGCTTAACTTCGATGATCATAGAGAAACTAGTTTTTTCAATGTGATGTGGTTGTAAGCTTGTTACAATGAATTGCTTGGTTATCTAACTTCATTGTCAGAATTGTTCAGCTTTTCATTTTATTCTGATTTGCTTTTTGGAGAAGATGAAAGCAATGATATGAATTCATGTGTAAACCTTTAATCAAGAATTGATTGTTTTCTTGTGTCTTTAATCCTTAAGTAGGTTTTAATGATATATCTTTTAAAAGAGTGTGATTGCTCCAAAAGTAATGTATCTTACTTTATTATGTTAACCCACAATGTCAGTGGTTGGTGGTATGGCTTCTTCACCACCTTATATGACTTTTTAATAGATAACAAAATGGTGTGGCATGAAAATGTGGGCAAAACAAAGGTGCCTCTTTGAATTCCTTACATAAAAAATGTACCCATTGAAATTCATTCACACTTGCTGAATGTTTATGGAGACCAAACAGTAGTTGTGAGCACAGGAGTTTCAGCAATGGGGACAGTGACAAGCTACATTCCCACTGATGAAAAATGGATTATGTACACATTTTTCTGACAATGTCATTGCTGCAGTGGAAAAGATTATTTTGTAGATGAAGGTTTACTTTATTCAATGAGGTTGTGCTTCTGTTGTAATTTCTGCTAAAATAAATACAAAGCCTTACTTTTGGAGCATGCCTGTATAAATTTATTAGTCATGCATACTTATCTCCCTTGTTGAGAGAATCTACTAACTTGATGCCAATAAGCAAACATGCTTCATGTAACTATAAAAAAATATTTCATTTTTAAGTAGCAATTGGCTAATATATTTTTTTTCTTTCTTTTGTGTTAACTTTCTATTGTGTATTTTTACTTTTAACATTTTAAAAAGTAGAATTTTTTTTTTTATAATGTGACAATATTATTAAGTATATAAATAATATTATATTAGTCAGGCAGAAAATCTAACAACTGCAATGGCAAAAATTATTTAAATATTAGTTTTTTATGGTAAGGATAAACTAGTCTTTCCATTATCATGAACTTCTTTGTTTTGGAAGTTACAGGCATAATTAGCCAATATGTTAACAAAAATAGACCTTTTTTTTATCAGCTTCAGGTAATTTTAGCTGAACCTGGTCATTCTTAGCAAATCCTCAAATTTAAGCTGAATTTTATTTAAAATATGGTACTAATAAAAGTTAGAAATTACAGTTATTAATCCTTAATATATTTGTGTTTAAAAATTTTGAATCTTGCTTCAAATGTGTAATTTCTGAGCCTTGTCATGCTTATAAGCTTCATGTGAATAAAAAAAAACATCTGAACCTCACTTCATGCTTCCAATGGGCTGAATTTGTGGACTGATCTGAACTGTGTCATGTTTATAAACTTCATAATAATAAATTTAAAATAAAGTGTATTCTTTGCCAAAGATTAATTTTCATCTTGTAAATCCTTAACACTTCATTGACACACAAGAACTTACTTTGCAATTTAATTTCTGCCACAAACACAATCTGCTATCTGACGAGGAACAAGGTATTTTTTCTAATGCACTGAATCCATCTAGAAATTAAAAAAAAACACAATTTTTAGTTTTCTTTCATTTTTTTCTACTTCAGTTTATTTTTTCAAGACTTAAGCAACATAATGAACAATTCTGTTATCCTGAGGATTATCTTAATCAATTCCAGAAATATAAAGTGATCACTTTCAGATTCTATCCAAGCCAATAGCTGTCATCAGCATTTACATAAAATTACATAATATAAATTAATAATCATAATTATTTGTTAAAATATTAGGTGTACATTTGTTTTGTGAATCTCTATGCTTATTAATATCAGTCCTGAATTTTACAATTCTTGTAATTTAACTGTCATGACTCTCATTATATTTTAGATAATTTTTTAAATAGATTTATATCGTAAAACTTTGTTAGCTTTTTATGACAACTCATTACTTATCCACAAAATTCCAAAAGACATTGTTTAAAATTCTTTTTATTTCATGATGAACAACCCAGAATTTAAAAAAAAAAAGAAGCTCTCCTGCCTAAATTGATGGATTAAATAAAGTTTTTATGTCATCTGGAGACACATCAATAAATTTGTATCTTAATGATAAAAAAAGCATTTATTTTGCACAATCAATAATAGTTTTAAATTACTACTAACCTACAATTACTGATGAAATTTTTGGCAAGGGAATTGTTAGGGATATCTAATAATTAGCTAATTAACAAATCTACATTATACCAAGAATCAATTAATGTATCTTTTTTTTTTCTACTGAAGGAAGCAGATAAAAATGTAGCCTTTAGCTGTGTAAATCAATCCGAAAATGCAGAGTGGGGGTCATTGTTCAAACCAACCATATACAATGAGAAAATGCAGACAAGAATTTTTCAACTTGTTATAAGCATTTTATAATTCCTATAGGCAACATGTCCTTTTTATTTGTTTCTTTTCATTTGTAACTCAATTTCTGTTGTTTATAATAGGAACAAATTTTATTGATCAAAGTGATGATGATCAATTTTACTTGAACTTGAAGAACATCATTCTAAGAAATGTGTTTGAAGATAATTAAAATTAAATTGGAAAAAATAGTATAGTAGATTAAAGTATTGGTTCATGAATTTGGTGATATAGTAATAGTAAATTTAATTTCTGGGTCGGGTAGTACAGACTTAATGGAAACGGAGTGAACAATAACTGAGCAGTTACTAAAAAGCACTATTAGGAGGGGTATCTTTGTTCTTGTTCACTGTCTATATCCAATCTGCCCCTATAAATTAAATAAAGGTTTCAGTTCAAAATTCCCTGTAGGTTACTTAGATTGACAAACATCTGAAGAAGGCAGGATGGAAAACATCTGAAATGTTATTTACATTGTTTGGATTGTTGTTCTCATCTTTGTTGACATATCCATGATGTTTCAACTGTTGTATGCTCTAGCCTTCTTCAGGTGATTGGAATTTCAAACCGAATCCTTTATTTCGTCCACCATAGTAGATTATTCTAGTTCCACGTGCCATAACTCTTCTGGATATCTCCGTATCAGTTACCTCCCTTTTAATTCACTCTCCAAGTTTTTGTTCACCTCTGCTGTAGCCAAGTATTGAACTCACAACTCTTTGGGTCAAGTCACTGGATTCATTCCAATCACCTGAAGAAAGCCAGTGTATACAATGGTTGAAACTTTGTGAATATGGCAATGAAGATGAAAACAGTCCGAACAATGTAGATAGTGTAATTACAATACCTCATCTCAGAAATGTAAACAGATATCTGAAATATTGTAGTAATAACAAAGATGAGGATATTAGTCAATTTAAATAATGATAAATCTTCATGTCAGAAATACAGACAATAGATGAAAAAAAATATTTGTCTTCTTTTTCAAAAACTTAATTTTATTGCAGACAAAACCGAATCTTCTATTAAGGAAAATGAACTTGGAATAGTTTTTTTTTTTTTTGGTTTACCTGAGCAATTGGTGAATACATGTGTTGGTGGGTTAATGTTGACAGTTGCTCTACTGTAGTCTCCAATTTGGGGTTGATGATAACGTAAATGGAAAGGTAAAACTGATTCTGCTTTTAGGTAACCAGTCTTGGAGGTTGATAGTAATGGTAAGTAGACAAGAAGTGTTTGCTGCGGAGAAAGGTATTCGGGTTTTTCAATGTCCACTTCAGACTGAAATGCAATCTGCCAAATTATGAAAAAAAGAAAAAAATTGAAAACAATTCTTCATATTTGGAAGAATATTTTATCATGTAAGTTTATCCTGTTTTATGGTGACATGGTCTATATAAAGCAATCTATTTTTTCTTCTTTTTGTCATAAAAAGACCTGACGTGAGTAATTAGAATTGTTTCCTTTTCTTTTACACTGTGCCTGCTTGACAGAGAAATTGAAAAGTTTAATGTTTCTTTAAGTAGTAACAAGTTACTAATTCTCAAATTACAATGTCAAAAGAGGAAAGATCACTATTCAGCAAAGTTTAACATTATTATCTGCAAGAAAATGGTGTGTCAAAATGAGTTTTTTTCTTGACTCTGCTATTACTGTATACACCTCTGTCAATTTTTATTGTTTTAAAAAGCTATTATTAGAATTTTAGCAAATCCCAAACATATGAAACTGGATTGATGCATTCTTGTTTTTTGTCAATTCTTGAGAAAAAAGTGAATGCATCAATCCAGTTTCATAGGTTTGGGTTTTTATTAAAATACTAAAAATAGCTTTCTAAAACAATAACAAAGTTGAATACAGTAATAGTGGCATGAAGAGAAAAAAAAGTCCTTTTGACAAACTTTTTATTTATAATATTCATTTGTTTTAAGGTTATTCATATTCCACATTGTTTCAACACCAGTTGAGTAAAAATGGATGATAGGCTGAAGAAGATGAGTTATATATTAATCACAGTGTATTTGTAGATTATGGCACTTTTAATGCATCTTCATCTGAACAAATCATCTTCATTTTTTAGGTCAAAATTGTGATGGTGAGGATTTCAGTGGCATACCAGAGCATTGGAACTTGAAACTAAACAACACACACAATTCTTCATTAGGAACCTACCAGGAAAAAATTAAATTTGTTTTTCTTTTAATTGTTATAAAAAAGAAACCTCTTAAAAAAATTCTGGTATCTGGTTAGATTCTAGGAAATGGGTTGAGCCAATAACTTTTCACCATCTTTTCATTCATATATATATATATATATATAAAATATGTGTGAGCCTATATAGCAGTCTAACCTTATCCCTAATATATATATATATATATATATATATATATATATATATTGTTGAGATGTTGAGTGTTTCCGCGTGCGTGTATTGAAATAAGGACAAACACATACGTAGGGAAAAATACTGGTATATCTGAAGAGGTATTTACAACAGAGAGATTAGTAGTCAAACGAACGCAGGTTAGTCAGTAACAATCAGAAAAGAAAGAGTATAAACCGTAAATGCCTAGTATTACTCCAACAGTAACATATTCAACTTTGACCTGAAGTCCAACTGTATCTTCCGGTAGAGACGGAAGTGTGATGGTCACCTGATCTTCTCCCCAGAACTCTATAGAACTGTCCTATTAGTAGTAGAGATCAGTCCATTCTGTTGAGAAGGTGGGTGCGCCCCAACATATTGTATTGTATTTTATTATTATATCTATTATTTTATTTATTATTGTTTTTATTATAATGCAGGTATTGTATTTTAATTTTATTTATTGTATTATATTTTATTATTGTATTTATTATTGTATGTTATTATACTGTATGGCATTGTCTTAGTTTGTATTGTATTTTATTAGAAAAAGGCTATTATTGTATTTATTATATTTTATTATAATGTAGGCATTTTTATTTATGTCTATTGTATTTATTAATGTATTTATTATTCTATTTCATTTTAAAACAATGTATTTTAAATATATTTATTTTTATTCGAAAAGTTTTTAATTTGAAAACGGACTATGTAATAAAAAAAAGTGCGTTTTTCAGTTTCGAGCAGTTGTTTCTTCAGTTCACACAAATATGTTTAAAATATGTTTTTGAAATTCAGGACTTATGACTTTCAAACTTTAATCCTGGGTATGACGATAAACTCCATCCGACAGCAATGCCCTAATCGGAAATTAAAACTTTTGAGGAACGAATTAAACCACCTCATAAATTGCTCCTATGTAAAAAACGCTTTCCGTCATGGTAGTATCTGTTAGGGTTTAGCTATCAGAAAATATTTTACTCACAGACAATAACAAAATTTTGTAAAGTAAAAATAACACATTTATCGTAAAATTACCAGGAATATATATATTCATAATAAGGTTTTCATATATATATATTTTTAGCAAAATAATCCGATTATACACATGTAAAAATAATCAACAACACATTTTATCATTTGTCGTTGAAAATGCATTTGATTTTAGAGCTTTATATTTAGGTTTCGCATTAAGTAACAAATAGATGTTATATGCCGCTAAGCAAAATCAACCAAACAATCAATTTTGCATAAATTTAATTCATATAATATCCTACAATTTCTTAAAAAAATCAACCATTTCAAAAGATATAAAAATAAAACTACAACGTCCTGTCTTTCCCTTTCTTACACATACCGTCGCCTTTAGTAATTAGGTCCACGCCAGCATATATATGAAAAAAAATATGAGAATCATCTATATATTTAATTGGAAAAGCAGAATAACATATCTGATATTTTATCATTTCATAAAAGGCTCCAAACAAAATTTAGTTCAGCATTAAATGACCCATAAGCTGTTGACATGCCATTAAACAAACAAAAACAAACCTTCTTCTAAACGTTAAACAACACAATCCATAAAAACCTTTTGTTGAGCATATATATATGCAATAGCATATATCATATATGCTGGAAGATTTAAACTTCTTTAACTTCGAAGTCTTTGCAGAAGATTTAACCGGGATAAACTAATATAGTTTCGCGGTTTAATTTCAATATATATATATTTTAACCAATATCTTTTTATAATCGCTTTGCATGAAACCTCACACCATTATGTGGCTACCACCAATTTTCTCTGCGTTTGAGGTCTACAGAGGACACATTTCTTTCAAATTAATAGGTCTTTTTACATATGCTCTTGCAGGTTTTGAATTATACTGTTTCGCATTCATTACTACATATAACTTTATGTCCTTTCTATCATCCCACGTTAGATGTACGTTTGAACAATTCAATATTCTGCTGTTTTTCCTTAATGCTATACGTCAAGTGGTTAGAACGTTCTTATTCTGAACATGAATAATAGGTTCGAATCTCACCTCAGTCGACCTGTCAGGAATGTGATATTGTCTCCATGCCATGGGGGATCGATCTCAGCATGCGGCGCCTTATGATGGGAGTGCCTGGAAACCATACCACAGGTTGACTGTCAAAGCCATGTGATTTAAATTGGGTAGACGGAACACTTTGGCCGAGAGAAATGTCTATATTTTAAAAAGGATAGATATACACTGCAAACGTTTTTGTTTGTAATGTGGATTTTTTAAAAATATATATTATGCTTTGTATTTTTATAAATTTTGCATTACGCGTCTTAGGTCAAAACAACCTTCTTCAGGCAAAATAGTGGATACTTTCACATATTATTAAAATGAATTTATTTTACTTATGTTTTTAGGAAGACAAACATTCTATTTTTTGTGTGGTAGTGACACAAATGTAACCATTGGACTTTTGGTGAGAAAGTTCTTCTGTTTGAAGGTAATAAAGCAATTAAAATTGGTATGAGACATAAAGCGTGAGGAAATATATCTATATTCCTATCTTTTAATGACCCCTGTGTGTTCTTAGGTCTATTTCCATTTATTTTGCATTGTGCGTGTTTTGGCTAGTATGAATATGTATAGGTATACTTTCTCTCCCCTGAAAATACTCTCTGTATATATATATATATATATATATATATATATATATATATATATATGTCTTAGTTTTCTTCTTTTATTTTTATTTAGATCATCTCAAATTCATCCCAGATCAGTTTCTTAATATTGTTATAAAACTTATTACGGAACTAATCGCAACCAAAATGTGATAGAACAAGACACAAGTTAAAACATCCAAAAATAATTGGTGAAATACAAACCAGGTGACTACAAACTAAGAATACATGTGGTGGAACTATAAAATTACATAAACCTAAATTTTCTTTCCGTCCTATCATATCCCAATTCCTCAATCCAAAAATATAAATTAATCAAAACAATTAACCAATTCATTACATTACATACCTAATAAATGCAGTATTAAATCAGATCATGAACTAATCCAAATCTTAAAAACACAATAGTAAACCAAATAATGAAACCATTGATGGTGAATGTTTATGTAACCAATGCTTTTGTGCGTTGGTGGTAATGTTAGTTGAAACGATTGATATAAGTATATAAGATTAATCCTAACATAATAATGAAACTATTATTTTTGACTTGTACCCACTGAGATTTTCCCTGCTATGACCATCAAAATAATATATATGGATAATATGATAGTTCCTTAACATAGGTTCAGTTCTGGGACCAACATTTTTAGTACCATCTACATTATTAACCTTGTAGGAAAAAAGCATATTTAATACCATTAGAAGATCTTCCATCTACCTAAGATAAATATAAGTTAAAACATAGATGAAATATATAAAAACCTTTTAAATAATTCCGTTCTTAAGTTTCCCATCTGAAATTAACAATAACCCTAACATTCCATTTCTTGATATATTGATATACACCAATAATAATTCATTTACTACCTATAGGTAACAGAAACTAACTAGCAAAAACACGTGCACTCTAAACTATAATATAAATGTCCTGATTGTTAAAAAGCAGCGATTATACAATTTTTATAAATATATACAAAATTTACTCTTCTACAAAATAATTTTCTACACGTTATAACATTAAAGATACTTGCATTTATAAAATTTCCTAATTACATTAATGAAGAACACATATATAAATAAATATTTTATCAAATTATCAACATAAATCAAAAAAAAAAAATACCGCCTCCAATAACCCTAAACATATTTAATCACTATAATGCAACGATTATACTCTGACTACATAAACAAAGATTAAAAAAAAAAATTAAACAATCTCATAAGCATTAATATATCTCTCGCTGATCCCAGAAAAAATAAAAAATAATTATATACTATAATAAAGTTAATACAACCAACTTAATCT